TTCATCTGTATACGTCACACGTCAAGTGATCGGGAAGCAGAAAATCCATGTGTTAGGAGATCCTTATGGGCTGGGTTGTAAAAAAAAGTGAGGCGCAAACCGGAAAAGCTTCTGCCGAACGGATTATGAAAAAACAAATAACGCTCCAAACACGCTGATTCTTCCTGATGTAAGAGGTGAGTCTACTCTTTGTTTTGGTAGTTTTGGTGTTGACATATTCATGGAGCGAAACGTTCTGTGACTCTTAAAAAAACTGTAAAAATGCTGAAAAATGGTGACAGCGAAGGGCTTTTCTGATCAGGAATCGGCTGGCAGCGAATGAGTTCAAACAGAAGCTGCTGATCTTTAAAGCACCAGAACCTCCATTTTAAACATATTTTAATCATTGTGGAAATCTTTCTATACTTTCATTTATTTTTGTTTTTGTGAAGCGCCTTGTGGTTTTTATCTTGAGGGGCGCTATATAAAGATCGTCTTCTTCTTTTAACGAGCCTGGCCAGCCAGACTCGTCCTCTATTTAATTCTACACAGAGAACTTCCCCATAAGGAAGCATGGGACTGGCTGGCCAGGTTCATTTTAACTCCTTAAGCCTGGTTTATGCTTCTCCGTCAGCTCTGCAAGGGACAGACACGCACGGATTGACGGGAGCGTTTTGCTCTCATACTTCTCTGTCTCCTGGAGAGTGTTGCAAAGCAATTGCCCTGCAGGACAACAGAGGGCGTAGCGCTGTTCTGTGGTATCCTGTCATGTATCGGTCCAAGATAGTGTGTTTATATTGTGTTTTTTTATATAAGAGACTTTTTAACATGGACATATTTGTCTCTCATTCCACTTCATGCGCTCGCCACCTCTAAACCTAAACCCACGTTTCCTGTCATTTCTGTCCACAAATAAAACGCTTGCTGCGCATCTTTTCACTCCTACAGTCACGGGAATTAAACGTTCATGATTTTAGAGTTTTTTCGCGAGGTATTCTTCAAGCTTCTCCGTGTCTGCCACTAGTTATCCTCGGTTCTCTTTATGTTTTTGAGGGCGCACTGGCGGAGCTGTAAACAGCGGCGTCCTGACCAATCACAAGCTTGCGTAATCTGTCTCGTTCGACGGATGTTTAAAAAAGAGAGCTCGACTCCGTCCGTCCTTGCGGAGCTCTCCGGCAGGCACGCAAGGACGTTGCGTGTCTCTGCACTGACGCAGACAGAGAAGCATAAATCAGGCTTAAAGCAGTGGTGGTTTTACCATTAGGCATAGGTTGGCGGGCGCCTGGGGCCACCGTATGTTGCCCCCCCCAATCCCTGACTGCTGGTACCCCTCTTTTAATGCCACAATGGACTATTCCTTTAAGACGCTGATGCACAAACAGGAAGTGATTGGTAGTCATTCCACTCCAATCCAGTTGGTGGCAGTAATGCACCAAATTGTTGTCTGCCAAGTGCCATAAGACCACAAATAAGAAGAAGAGAAAGCAGAAAAAGAAGAAGAGAGGCGGGAGCGTTCGTAACAAACTCAAAGCAGAAGTCAAAACATGAAGCATGAAATGGAGTTATCCTAGTGGCTCCAATAAGAGAAAGATGCAGCACTGACAGGAAGAAGAAAGCAGAGCAAATATTGAAGGCACTCAAAGAGAGGGAAATACAGGAAAAAAAGAGGAGGACTAATAAAAAGTGAAAATAACTCATGTCAGAAGAGGGGAGAGTTTCGCAAATCCAGTTAAAGATAAGATTGTTGAATATTTTGTGTAAGGGGCCCCATGTCTGTGTTCACCTTGGGCCCCCAAATAGCTAAATCCGCCACTGTCCTTAAAGGGGCATGATGGAAGTTTGACAGCCAAAACATGTATAGAAATAATGAATGTCTTCTTCTTACATTCTCCTGCAATGCCCTGGTCCTGTAGAATGAGCCCTGGCATTTTTACTGTGATTGCCTGTTTTTTCTGTAAAATCACAGAAAAAGAGAGATGCTCGAGTCGAGCAGGCTGCTTCATGCGCGTTCACGCACAGGCATAGCCCGTAGCATTTGCTATCCATAGCTTTAGCAGCAGAGAGAGAGGTAGTGCCAACTCAGCGACTTTGTCGCTGTTCCTAACGCCTAGTGATGAACCTAGCTACATTTCTGAGGACCATTAGCTACTTCCTTCTAGATATTTCCTGCAAATTAGCAACAAAATAGCCATTTTTGCTCTGAACCGTTCTTTGAACGTTGTTTCAGCTGTCATCACGGATATAAAAGCTATGGATACAAAATATGTTACTGGCGCTTTAGCTCACCTAGAAAGACGACGGACTCCCATTCGGATGATCCGGGTTTGAATCTCCATGTGAATAAAATTTATTTAGAGTTTATTTATTACATTAATGGTATAGTTTTTTACAGTAAGATGCCCAACATTTTATTTGAGACTCGCCAAACGGCATTGAATTCACAGATAAAAAAAGATGTGGGTTCAACTTTCATTTTGTAACAATTTTTCAAGCAAGGGAAGGGAAGCTCTTTGAAGCTGGCGGACTGACCCATCCTAAACCTTTGTTGGCTGTGCTGAAGAGAAAGGTACAGAACCAAATTATTTAATTAATTAGCTGTGCGTTCTCCTGTCCTCCGGGCCACACACACACACGGAGCTGACTGTCTCAGCTGTTATTTTCGTTAAGGAGTGTGCACGTACAGCATGCGAGCTTACTATTGAAGCTGCCGTTACGCTTTTGGCCTGAGGGGGCAATTGCGAGCATAAAAATTCAAAACTCCGTAAAGTCCCTTTAAGGCCTGAAATATGATAATGATAAATGATAAATGACCTGCACTTGTAAAGCGCCTCTCAGAGTAAGGACTCCAAGGCGCTTTACACTACAGTGTATCATTCATCCATTCACACACACACATTCACACACTGGTGGGGATGAGCTACGATGTAGCCACAGCTGCCCTGGGGCGCACTGACAGAGGCGAGGCTGCCGAGCACAGGCGCCACCGGTCCCTCCGACCACCACCAGCAGGCAAGGTGGGTTAAGTGTCTTGCCCAAGGACACAACAGCAGAATTCTCTGTCCGGAGCCGGGATCGAACCTGCAACCTTCCGATTACTGGACAACTCGCTCAAACTGTTGAGGTACTGCTCCCCCATCATTTTTATAAAATGTTTTTTTAATTGAATTTGTTTTTGTCCAATGTTAATAAAACATCACATCATCTAACATTACTGTGGGTACTACATGGAGAAATAGACAGTGAAAGTGAAGAGAAAATAACAAAACACAGAGGGGAGAGTTGAGCAGATGACCGATCAGACGAGGAATCCTGGGGCTGAGGTTACACACATTCTCAGAGCGATTAGGAGGCTTCGGCTTCTCTGCTCATGTGAACTGTGACTTTGACCCGGGGCTCCTTTTTGACATCCTCTCTGCTATTTATTCCCTCTACCACTGCAATAACAGGAGTAAGAGCTCAACCTGGCAAGATGTGTGAACCCCATAATATACACAAGCCCTACAGCTGCCAACTCAACTCTCTCCTGTAAAAGAACAAAAACTTCTAGGAAGTTCTTGAAAAACTAAAGTTTAGGGAGGTAGAGCTGAAAATCAGATATTTTAATTAAGAGTAGACAACCTTCGTCAAAACTACAGGTATGCTGGCAAGTCAGACAATATATTGGCTTTCAGACATGTTTGTGCATATTTAGTGATTACCAAGCAGGAAAAAGCAGATAGTAATCGATAGGGATTTAAAATCATATTATGATATTTCATTTTGTAATACTGAATTGATATTTTAAAACGGTGTATAGACAGTTTTTAATGAGAATGGATGCACGTTTACTGTTTTTCTTTTGTGTGGTGCAATTCAGACTCCGACTGCGAGGTGGCAGCGGTTTTTGCCGCCTTCATCATGACAGAACAAGATCTCGTGATGACACTGGATGTGTCTTGGAATCGTGTGGCCTTAGTTTCCCAAATAAATTCTGTCTTAAAAATGTAAATATTATGTGTGTTTTTGTGTTGCATATATATCGTGTTGTGATATATACCACCACATATATGCACCAGTTTTTACCAGCACACACTTGGTAATCAGGTACTCCAAAAATCTACTGTCAAGTCTTGTTAGATATACCTATGCTTGTCCCTGTTAAAAGCTGCACTGTGTCATACACAAGCACGTCATGAAGGTCACTGCTTATCAGAAACCCTTCCCAGAGCATTTTTTTTTATATGAAAAGCTATCAGCCACCGGATCTTTCAGGAATCATGTCAGGATGTCCGCTTGGCGGAGCTGAATGAGAACTACCTGTGTTTAAGGACAATAGCTGTCTTTTCACAATCCAAATGTTTTCATATGAGTTTGATCCTGAATCAGTTCAAAGGCAGGATGGCAGTCCTTCAACTAGAATCTGTAATCAATGCATAACGAATCAGACTGACTCCCAATTTTTAATAGTTGGTGTAAAAGGTTCCGGGTGTGCAAAAATCCTAATCTAAACCACTTTTTCCCCGTAGACTCGCATGGAGCTGGGGTCAAAGTCCAGCAGTCATCAGGCGAGAGGCGTGAGACACCCTGGACAGCTCTCCAGTCCATCATAGGGACACACAAACACAAACACACACACAAACACACACACACACACACACACACACACACACACACACACACACACACACACACACACACACACCTAGGGACAATTTAGTCTCAAATTTAACCTAACATGCATGTTTTGGTCTATGAGAGAGAACTCATGCATGCATGAGTAGAACATGCTAACTCCATGCAGAAAAGCCGCAGCAGGGATTCAAACCTACAACCTTCTTACTGTGAGTCAACAGCACCAACATTCAGACCCTCAAAGGAAACTAAAGATATTAAATGTTAGAAAATGTATCAACATCTCAGGATCAAGTCACAATATGATTTGATATGATAATGAGTAAAACACATGGAGCGTGTTGTCAGCAGTAAAGTAACAATGGTTTCTAAACTTTAAGCTAGAGCTAAGGGGTTGCTGGGTTAGAAACTTGACCAGTATGACACCACTCTGCAGCCCTTTGCTGACCAGATACCACAGTTGACAGTTTTGTGGAGCAGGTAGGTGTACCAGGGGTTCTTTACCTGCTTTAAGACTGTTAGCACTAATGCTAGCGGTTAGCATTTTCAGTTCGCCAATCGTCAATATAAAGCACAAGAGAAAAAAGAAGACGTTTGCCTATTTATTGGCATCATGGCAGAGCCTGGAAATAAGTCAGTGACTAATGTCTTTGGAGGCGAATCAAAGAGCTAAATCTGAGTGAACATCGGCGCAGCCTACACTAGTATGAGAGAGCTAAAGGAGGCTACAAAGTCACAGACTGATAATGACCTAGCTTTGTTGCTACTGGACTTTATATATATATATATTGTCCAACAGTGTGGAGCTTTTTACTTTGTGGTTTATTTAAGTATTAGTTGGCTCATGTTCCTGTTAGCTCGTTGCTAGCGTTAGCTACAGCAGACTGCTGCAGGGTTGTTCATGACAGTGGTAATTCCACTTTAAACCAGTAGGGTGGAGGCTCAGGAGACTGCTCAGTGTTACTTTAAGATGACTGAACAGAAAGAGAGAAATAAGGAAAATGCTCCAGCAGCTAAATAAACTGTTTAAGATAACGTTAGCTTGATATGTTAGCTTCCATTGCCACCATTGTTATCAGCTAATGGTGCGTTCGCTTTCTCCTCGGAAATTCTAACTTCCCAGTAGGAAAAATCAAATGAAAAAGGATGGCAAAAGGAATGAAGGCACACAGTAAATTTAGTTCACAGTAAAGATGTTTGCTTCAGTTTAATTATCAGCTTATAAAACTACAAGGACGATGTTAAAATACAAACAGTTGAATGTTATTTATCGTGATATTTATCAAATATTGTTATATATAGAGAAAAATATATATTTAATTATAAAAGACAATTAAAATATTAAAAACTCAAAAGTATCCAAAATTGGTACCGTTAAGTACCGGTATCGATTCCTAGGTACCGGGAATTAGTAACGAATCGATTCAAATGTCAAGGTACCCATCCTCAAGAGAAGGATTTTAAAATATTAAAAAGTTGCAAAGTATGCCTTTAAAGGCTTCAACACTGGAAATTGTAGTTTAGAATGTAAGCTTTTACCCGCAAAGCAGCATGACAGACTTCTGGTACTGACCTGGCAAAACAGGCTGCAGTCCAAACGGGCCTCTGCTAGGAGAGACGCCTCTGACGATGCAGTCGAACAGAAAGCTGATTTGCTCGCTCTCTGCAGAAGCCAACAGAAAAACACCAGCCCCTGCAGAAAGCAAACCTCGTTATCCCAGACTGTTTAAGAGGCAGTAAACATGACTATCACAACAACAATAATAATAATAATAATAACAATACGTATACCAAGTAGATAAAATGTTATGTAACAAACTACCATTGGAGCTTGAAAGGTCACTTTTTTGGACAGACAGCCAGACTGTGTTGAATAACCACATTAGTCTGGTGTTATTTAGAAATGCAGCTGTCTGGATTTAGTTTGGATTCACTACTTAGATGTTTAGTTACTGTAAATGTGAAGCTAAGAGAAAGTGTGTAATCAAAGCCAGTAAATCAGATTTATTCCACTAAAAGACCTTCGGCTTTTGCTCTCGTCGGTTTGGGGAAACAGCGTCACCACTGTGATGCCCAAAAGGTTTAAGCAAAAAGAGAAAAACTCGGGAGAAACCATGGCAACAGCTCCTTGAGACTTCGTACAAGTCATTCGTGTTAAAACAGGTTCAAGGAACCACTTTTCTGAAAAAGATCTAAAATTTCACTGATACTGATGCTGTACTTTATATTTAGTCCAGTTTATAATAAAAGTAACCTAATTTATCCCATAATAATTCAATCTTATCATAATTTAGTCAATTAAACACAATCTACTGAGCAACTGGGGTTATAAAAATTGGGACATTGATTCAGGCCGGGAATTTTGAAACCATCCCAGGCCACCGCCCAATTCATGCTAAACACTAAAAGTGGGTCAGGTTGGGCGCCTACTGATGTAAAAGTGTAAAACAACTAAATTAAAACTTCACATGTGCCCTGATTCTTTACTCTAAAATATATATATTTGTGTTCTGCTGCTATAATCTGTGCTTTTGTTGCATAAACTGAAACTCTATTTTATTCTGTTAAACGTGACTCCTGCACATTACACGTTATTTACAGTGCGTTCTAATGGGAAATGGGCTTCAACACAAACGGTTGTTTCCCACTTAGTTCTAGTACTCAACCAGTATCTATTTAATATAACATAATATTGTTTTTGGACGGTAAAGAGTGCAGGGGTCAAAACTTGACTTTGGAAAAAGTGGGGGGGATGTGTCCCCCCTGTCCCCCCTCCCCCAAAATTACGTCTATGGTAGGGTCACAATTTGGCGTCAACAACGTGAAAGCATGGGTCCATCCTGCCTTGTATCAACGGTTCAGGCTGCTGGTGGTGGTGTAATGGGGTGGGGGACATTTTCTTGGCATGCTTTTGGCCCCTTAGTACTAATTGATCATCGTTGCAACGTCACAGCCTACCCGAGCATTGCAGACCATGTCCATCCTTTTATGACCACAGTGTACCATCTTCTGATGGCTACCTCCAGCAGGAAAATGCACCATGTCCTAAAGCTGGAATCATGTCGGACTGGTTTCTTGAACATGACGATGAGTTCACTGTAATCTAATGCCCTCCACACTCACCACATCTATATCCAATAGATGACCTTTGGGATGCGGTGGAACAGGTGATTTGCATCATGAACGTGGAGCCGACAAATCTACAGCAACTGTGTGATGCTATCATGTCAATATGGACCAAAACCTCTGAGGAATGTTTCCAGTGCCTTGTTGAAGCTATGCCACAAAGGATTAAGGCGATTCTGAAGGTAAAAGGGGGTTCAACCCGGTACTAGCAAGGTGTACCCAATAAAGTGGCCAGTGAAAGTACATCGTATTGTATAACGTTTCGTCTCCGTGTACTGTGATAAATATCGCGTTGCCAATGTGCACCCCTACACAGCAGGGTCTCAACCCCTTTGCTATCAGGCTGCTGAACGTGGACTACATATAAGCCTTGTTGTTGTGTTTTGTTTTTATTTACCGTTCTTTCACGTATGTGATACATGATAATCAGTGAATGTGGATTGGGAGCTTCCAAATGAAATTCCAATTGAATCAGTAAAGTCTGGTTAAAACGTGTGGCTGCTGTTCTAAAAATGTCCCGAGGCATCACCAGCTGCTGTTTTCACGCTGCTGCTAAATTCAGTCGTGAAACAATCCCTTGCCTTTCAATCTGGAGTCTCAAAGAAAACTTAATAAAGAAAAGGTCAGAGGTCATTCGCTCCAGACGTGTCTGGAGCTTCCTGTAACAATACAGCTGCTCGTCCACTACAAGGTGTCAACAACAAAGGGGTCGCCTTCAGACCACCCACATGAGTCTCAATCCTAACGCTGCCCTGGCTGGGAGTGGGGTCAAAGGTCAAGAACAGAGTCTGCTCAGATGTCTGCAGAAGCTCAAACCAAACCTTTACAAGCTTCTTGGTGGTAATTAAGATGAGTCTCCACTAGAAAAAGCATTCTCATACTTTTGAAAAGCAGACAAAAAACATCAGGTGAAATAAAAATGTTAGAGAACAAATAAATAAATAAAAGCCCACACAGGGAAACAAGAGCACAGGTGGCCGGGGCTTGTTTGGGCCACACGAGTTTGTGTTGAACAGAAAACAACAAGTGGCTCCGTCTGGTTTCCGCGCCGGCAAGTGACAAAAACACAGTCGCCAAGCAAAGTAACAGAGTCTCTTTGGATCGGTCGGTGGGAAGTGTAAGTTAGCTCCAGCCTTCACAGGGGCCGCAGCTCTCCAAGCAGCCAAACACATTTTCCTGTTAGCGATTTTGGCGAGCGTTGCTCCAGGGTGCCGTGTGCGGTTCCGTCACTACTAGAATATTCTGAGCAGTTTTCACTTTTAAATGTGAAAAATAAAACCTGTTGTTACATTTTCAAACTGCACCAAAAAGTCAAGTGCTGATCAGTTTGGATGCAAATGAGTTCCTGGGCTGATTAGCAGCTAATTAGCTAATTTATTAAAATCTTTTTGATTTTTCATTATTCAAACAGCTGATTATTAATATTATGAGTGCCACTTAAACAAAAAAAAATGCACCAATTCCTCAGCAAAACCAATATTTTCCACCCATAATCAGTGAACGCAACACAGCTAGCATCAGCTGATCCTGAAACAGACAACTCATTTGGAGTTGTGTTCTTGACTATTGCTGTTTTCATTCATTAATCAATAAAAAAAACTCTAAAGTCAGACTGGTTTCTTTTCTGGCTGCTGACTCATATTTGTAGACAGTTGAAAATAGATACGTTCATATTTTAATATTTTGAGCGTTTTGTTGAACACAGAACAAGTTCATTAAAAATATATACTGGGCATTTTTTTTTTCTAATGGTAAAGCGCAGCTCTGGGGGCTTGGAACAAGTTTGATCTATGCTGTCATTTGTATTTTTCTGAAATAAATTAAAACTTGAAAACAGAGAAATTGACACATCAGAGCTTCACAGAAATCAGGAACTGGAAACCGGTCCAAAAAGCTGTAATCGGTGCAACTTCAAATGATGGCTTTAATGCTTTTTACTGATCTAGGCCACATGATTTAGTGCTGAGAGGCTCAATCTGGCAAACTGAACACATCATTTTGACCTAAACTCTGATTTAAAGACTTGATTGTGAGAGAGAAAACTAACATTCACTCACTAGAACATTAAAAACAGCTAGAGTGTACTGGTGTTATTTATAATCCAATAAAGGTTCCCATCACAGCCAACTCTAAATTCTGGCTTATAAAGACATCTGTACATGCTAAAAGTGCTGGCAACTATAAAACCCAACTTTGTCTTCTGAATCTCTGCACCTCTCCTGAGGGAGGCCAGGTGTTTGAGAGGAGAAGTGACCAAAAAAATAATAAATAGTGATAAAATAATACCTAGATGTAATATCCTTATCCTCGAGGCGTCGATAACAGAATCACTTCAACAAAAAGTGCAGTAAATATACTTTGTTCTGTTCCATGAATCATGATTTTTAGTCAGATTTGACGAATGATTACTTGAAACTTTAACAGCTTGATCAGAATCCTGACTCCACCTCCAACAGAACCATACTGTTAGTAAAGAAGAAAAGCCCTAAAGGAATGGAGCCAGTGTGATCCATCTCCTCTGGGTATTAAAATCAGGACGTTATGTCTGAAAAACATTAATGATTCTGTAAAATAGGTCTTACTTTAATTTTTTAAGCTATTGCTTTCAAACTGGTTTCAGTGTTTCTTGAGGTAAAAACAAGCAACGTCAGATGGGACAACCCTCTGCTGACCAGAAACCGCATCTAACGGGTTTGTGGTTCAGTTAGGAACATTAGTGGGAGCTGAGCTCTCTACTGCCTCTACACCTGTTGGCTCGTTACAGTGGCGTTAGTTCATATAAAGGCTTGCAGTTAGCTTGCCCAATATAAAGCACAAGAAGAAGAAAAATTCTGTTTTTCTGTTGGCATCGTGGTGGAACCTGGGTGTAAAAGTAGGAGAGTGATGTCTTTAAAGGCAAAACAAAGAGCTTAAACCAAAGTGAACATCGGCACCGCCTACGCTAGTTTAAGAGAGCTAAAGCGCGGAACACACCAGCTGCTAAGCGCCACGAAGTGGATCAGTCACGAAATGTGTGCGCTGTCCGCTCCTCCTCTGTTCACATTAGGCGAGAATTTTCAACGAGCACTTCTGCTAACGCCTACCGTTTTCCAACGTGTGTGTGTGTGTGTGTTCGTTTTCATTTGTCTAGTCTGTTTAGATGCACAAAAATGATCACATTTATTAATTGCAGTGTTTTATTTTGAAAATTTTCTTTATTTTGTTAAATGTACCGGCCTGCCTCTTCTGTTATGGTTTGACTTCCTGCCAGAATTGACGTGGTTCACTCACGGCTCACAAAAAAATTAGCGCTCATGCCGAAACGATCACTGCACAGCGAGAGCCTTTGTGGCGCTTCGCAGCTGATGTGACCAAGAGCACAGGTTAACGAGGGCACCGATTAGAAGCACTCGTTGTTCCACTGCGCTTCGTGGCGCATCATCGCGCTTCCATGTCTGGTGTGTTCCGTGCCTTAAGGAGGCTACAAATGCATGGACTGATGGTGACCTGGCTTTGTTGCTGCTGGACTTGTACATAATATGTGTGGATCTTTTTACTTCATGGCTTATTTTAATATCAGTTGGCTCATGTTAGCGTTAGCTCATTGTCAGCGCTGACTACAGCAGGTTACAGTTGTAATTACACTTTCAACCAGTGTTGCTTTGAAGGCCAACTGAGTGGGACCAAACTAATCTAAATGAAGAATGTGCGTGGTGAAACGTTACAATCGACAAACGTACAGTAACCACATCTTGTTCCACCTTCGAACACAAATCCATTTGGCACCGGTCCGTATCGGCGTAGGTCCGGCAGGTTCCAGTGGCCGATGATGACGGGAGGGAAGTCCCGGGAGAGGGCCAGAAGGTTGTTACACAGATGAAGAGTTGCATCTCCTCTCTCTAACTTGGTCCCTGGTAAAACTCCAACACTGAATCTGTGAACTGAGCCAAAGCGGAAGTTTTAGTTACGTAAGAGAAACATAAGATGCTGAACTTCCTTTTTGTCCATTCACAATCTCATTTTTTCGGTCTCTACCCAAAGCTCATGACCATAGGTGAGGGTAGGAACGTAGATCGACCGCTAACTCGAAAGCTTCGCCTTCTGACTCGGTTCTCACTGCAGATGCAGCACCAATCCGCTTATCGATCTCACGCTCCAGTTTTCCCTCACTCAACCCCGAGATACTTAAACTCCTCCACTTGGGGCAGGACCTCATCCCTGACCCGGAGAAGGCATTCTATCCTTTTCCGAATCAAGACCATGGTCTCAGATTTAGAGGAGCTGATTCTCATCCCAGCTGCTTCGCACTCGGCTGCGAACCGCTCCAGCGAAAGCTGAAGATCACGTTCTGATGAAGCCAACAGGACCACATCATCTGCAAAAAGCAGAGACCTGATCCTCAGGCCACCAAAACGGATGCCCTTCACACCTTAGCTGCTCCTAGAAATCCTGTCCATAAAGGTTATGAACAGAATCGGTGACAAAGGGCAGCCTTGGTGGAGTCCAACTCTCACCGGAAACAAGCCCGACTTACTGCCGGTAATGCGGACCAAGCTCTGACACCGGTCATACAGGGACTTAACAGCCCGTATCAGAGGGCCTGGTACCCCATACTCCCAGAGTACCCCCCACAGGGCCCCCCGAGGGACGCGGTCAAACGCCTTCTCTAAATCCACAAAACACATGTAGACTGGTTGGGCTAAGTCCCACGCACCCTCCAGGATTCCCCTAAGGGTATAGAGCTGGTCCAGTGTTCCACGGCCAGGACGAAAACCACATTGCTCCTCCTGAATCGGAGGTTCAACAGTCCCGACGATCTTTTTTGTCTTCAGTGGAAAGTCCAGGATCTACAGTACTGAGCTAATGATAAAAGCCTGCAAAGTGGAGATCAAAACCAAGATCATGCTTGTTTATTACAATTATTCTAAATGAACTTTTAAATAAAAACATCATCTACAGGTTCATGAACAGCCTGGAGCTCAGCATAATCAGTTAAAGCTGTTATAGCAAATTTTGGAAAACAAATTAGCTTAAAGCTATTTATTCATGCCTCTTAACAACATTCTAGCAGTGTATACCTATTCATATACTGTGCAGATGAAAAATAAACATAATATTATAGTTAATATTATAGTTGTTATCTCACATTTGTCTACATAGGGCTCGGGATAATGCATGATTATGCGTTGCTTTCTGGGATGTGCACAGACATGTTTATGGGCTTAAGAACGTGGCCGAGCTCGCGGTTGACAATAGTAACAAGTAAAAAGCTAGGACTCGTAGGCCGCCAACAGGGCGGCCGTGTCCGTGATGATGTCACGATCACAAACCCTATACCTCCACCAATAACACGTTCCGGACTGAAAGCATCTATTGGAACATCTGCTTGTTGGTCTCACTGTTACGTTCCCCGGTAGGTTGTGTGAAGTTTATGGTTGTGTTTTACTTTTCATGTCACACAACATGGATCCTCTGAGCCTTTGGGGACAAGAACTCTTTGACTCTGCCAAGGACCAGCAGCCTTGTGTGAACTTTGCCCCAAATAACATCAACGGACAGCTCCAGAGCAGAAGCTGCAGCTGAGGCGGATTGGGACTGATTGCGGTTGCCACATGAGGAGGATAAAACATCGTTGGAACCATTACACGAGGAGCAACTCCTACCCATGGGTTGACTCCACTCCACGCTCCCTTTTCTCTGTTAAATGGTTTAGTCTGCTAACATCTTGAGAAAGTGCTATTTTAACTGAGAGTAAATCTCTGCACTTTTCTGGTCCAAACTGTGGAGAGGATCTGTTTTAAACTTGGTATTTTTGTTATTAGCTTTAGGATCTTAGTTGTTTTGTTGGTACCAGTTAAAGATAATTTGTGGGTAAAGAAATGCCAAATATTGTGTTTGTTTTGTGTGTAAAACTTCCTGGTCTCAGCTGGGTTTTTGTTTTGTTTGTAAATTCTTGTAATTACAATTGAACACAAGGAAAGATAAATTATTATTTTACAACCCGTTTCATTCCCTGATTTTTCCCCTTAACTAGAGTCGAGAACGTAATACTCACCGAACTACGGCGTTGTTTTTTTTCGCACACACATATTTAGCTACGGAACACCACTGGTGTGAGGCGTTCTCCGCTCAATAAATTTTAGGACAAACTACCAGTCCCAAAAAGATAAACACCATTTGAAGTCACAGACAACAAAAGACGCTTGGACCTAGAAATGTTGACTGGTGTTTAGCGAGTTCTCGTTTCCTCTGGCAACATGGGTTTCTGGTTCTGGTGGAAGCGGACCCATACCCGAGGGGAGGGGTGAGTGCTCCGTGACCATGTTTGTGTTCACAATCTTGCTTGTTCTGTAGATTCACTACTGCGGCTTTAAATGGCTGATGTGTGAAAATAGGTGCTATTTTATTATAAGGGTCTCCTAATTTATGGCTAACAAATAGTTAATAGATGTGTTATTATATAGTTAATAGATGTGTTATTATATAATCCGTAACACTTTATAAATCATTAACAAGGGTTTGCTATGCATTTATGTGTAGAGAAAACTCACCAGTTTTGTGTCAAATAGTGAGCCAAATCTGTTCACGTGTATATTTCATTCATCTTGGGTTTCAATATAAACATTTCAGTCTAAATTACTACCTTGTTATGGAACTCCAAAGTATCTAAAATTAAACTAATAAATAATACATAATGAAATATATATCTGTGTAAATAAATACTAGCTAGTTAATTCATGTGACAAATATAAATTCACTCTGAAATAATGTTTTTTATTATTAAGATCAATTTAAAAGAAGAATGAAAAATATTACAAAATGTTGAGGTAAGCTTTTTACTAAACATTCTCTTATTTCAGCATTTCATAATGTCCTATCGATTTATTTAACTTTGAACATCTTAGACTTACATATTTGGAGAAAAAAAAAACTTTGCAGCTCCACAGAATTTAATTGGCCTGAATCTGTAAATCGTTCGTTTAATTATGTACTCCATTGTTTTAAGCTTTGAACAGAAGTCCAACTTTTGTACTGTTCTGGTTAAAAAAAGGTTCATTTTGCATTTGTTTATCAACGCCCCTTTAGGAGCTCAGTACTACATTATAAAATAAAAAGTTGTGGCTCCAAATTCTCATGGTGTTTACAAGTTAGTAGCTCACTTAGACTGAGTCTAGATGAAGTTCACAAGGGAACAGGTTTATATCACTATTTAGCAAGAAACCAGTCCGTTTTCTCTCTTTCCTACTCTTAATGATTGCATAATAAACACTAATCATTTATAAAGTGTTTACAGATCAGTTAATAGCACATCTATAAACTACTTAACAGCAGTTATTAAGGGGGTCTTCATTGTAAAGCGGCAGCAAAAAGGGAATAAAAATGTAAAATGGATATAATATAATAATAAACAGAGCTGATACAATAGGCCTTTGCAGCGCTTTTGCTGCTCGGGTCTAATAAAATAAAAAGTCTAATAAATTTAAATATATACATAAAAATAGTAAATAAATTAAAAACCTATAAATAAATTTTAAACATGATGTTTGGGCGTGATTTCTGTTAGCAGAAGTGAGGGTGAACTCATCCTGATGATGATGTCAAACCTGAGTGCCCCTGGAAGTGAGGTAATAACATCACCCTGACGGTTGACACGTGAAAAGTAGGGCTGCTTAGGTGACAAGAGACAGTTTGAGCAACCAGTCAGCCATGAGGTCTAGTTTGTGTTCACATCCTTATGAGCTACTAAGTTCCCCACCTCCTTTGGGTCTGGGATGAAAGATGTTCTATTAGGATTTATTGCTGGCCATATGCTTCAGACAACAAACAGGATTAAAAAAAGTCAAAAAAAAAGAACTTGTTTCAGTATTGATTTGTTGGCCTTCATCATAAAAAGGACAAATGGGACAAAAACAACACAATAGACCACATCATCAACATCTTGTAAACAAGGGTGGGAAAATCCAGACCAGGAGACGAATGAGCAGGTTTCTCCCAGTGAACCAGCTCATCTTCACCCCAAACAGGTGCAGCTTCTCCTCCTACAGTTGGACTGCTCTGAACAAACAGGTGAGATTAATGGAGGTGGTGATGGGGAAGCTGCTGGCCAGCTGCGGCGTGTCGTCGCCCCAGTTAACGGAGATTCATGAGGCGTCACAGAGGCACAGCAAAAACACAGAGCGGGGTGGCCCAGAGCAGGTGACATTTCAGCACGCACGCACACACACACACACACACACACACACACAGGCTCATCTAGTTCTTGCAACACAACTCTGAGCAGAAAGGGAACAACTGTGAGGTAATTAGTCTTCGGCGTGTCCCACACAATCACGTCCACTCGTCCCACCCTCAGTACCATCATCTTTACCATTCTGGTGCCAACTGTCCACCAGTTCAAACCTATTAATGGTCCGTGTCTGACTGGGTCTCGCTGATGCAGCAAACTACTTAAAGCATCAAATTCAAAACAGAAAAAGAATTAGCATGTCAGAGCTGTTAGCATGTTATCTACATCTAAACATAGATAAGAAGTGAAGAAAAAAGCTGGATGTCCCCACCTTCTCCCAGGCTGTACCGGAGACGGACATCCCAGGCCTGCAATGCCTCCCTGCTGTCGAAGCCCAGCAGAGCAGCCTGATTCAGGCAGAGGAGGACCAGAGTAAAGGCTACACCCTCGTACCACGGTCCAGGCTCCAGGCCGCAGATCTCCTCCAACGTGACGCTCGCCTTCTCCTTGTTACCCTGAACTTTGTCCGATTTGTCTTTAAACACCACCAAAACGAGACAGTCTGGAGAAGGACACAATCCATCACTAGCACCAAAGACCTCAGTGTAGAACACCAAGATAACAGTTTCATTCCTGCTGCCGTAAGCCTCCTGAATGAGGATGAGCCCTGATGTTGTGACACCGTGTTTGATGTTTTTGCCTCGTCTAATGCAAAAGGTACAGATACAGTTTTTGACTGACGTGTTCTGCATGTAAAAGCAGAGGGTAAAACGTTGGTTGATCCCCCCCCCCCCCCCCCCTGCTAAACTTCTGGATTGTTAAACATTATCTTCACCTTTTCTCATAATTATGAGACATGTGTTTTTATTTTTTAATGGCATGAATGGGCTTCTGTATTGTTGCTTTTATGTGTACGGCTCAATAAAACATCCATTTCAACTTTAACCCAGAATCTTTTTTTTCATCTAAATTTAATTTTGATTTATCCATATTTTTCCATCTAAAAATATTGTATACATTCATTTTAATTGCAACATTTCATCTTTAATATATAAAGAAATCATGAACATTGACTCATTTCAGCTTAAATATAGGAGAAATTAATACATGCATATGTATAAATATAAGCAAGTTTTTCTCATTTTGTATATTTTTATGTCCTTTTGTTTATTCGGTTAAAATTTTAACAGACCGACGGGACTCTAAACATAAACACATATAGGAAACCAACACACACAGACTAATATTTATTATGGACATCAGAACACCCCACCATACACAAAATGTCAGTAATCAGAACATTATATCACCGAGCAAACATGGTAACAGAAGAAAGAGACCGTAAACAAGAGGACAAACATACAACATGCTTTAAAGACCTGCGGATACCCAACATGGGCGATAAACAAAGGAAAACAACAAACAACAACAGAAAGAAAAGAACAACCAAAGCAAAGAACCAGAAACCCAGAAAGACAAGAACCAAAACCAGTGATAACCCTACCATACATTAAAGGCATAACAGAAAAATAAGAGCAACAATGAAAAAACACAACATAAACACACCAACAAAGCCATACACAACAGTTAGAAACAGACTAGTGCACCCAAAAGACAAGATACCAGCTGGACTTAAATGTGGAGTCATCTACGAAATCCCACGCAAACTCTGCAATAAAACATACATAGGAGAAACCGGACGCCAACTCAACACACGAACAATAGAACACAGAAAGGAGTGTGAGAAAGAAACAAATCGTAAGCACACAAGAGCAGCAAAAGAAGAAGCAGAAAGCACAATAAAGAAGTCAGCCGTAACAGATCACTGCACAAGAGAAAACCATGTAATTGACTGGGACCACACACAGATCATAAACACCGAACAACAAAAATACAAAAGATGGATAAAAGAAGCAATCGAGATAAGGAGACGTGGATGTGGGACCATGAACAGGGACGATGGGGTCTACACGTTGGACCACGCATGGGACTGCATCATCGGAGAGGGGACAGCGGGCAGCAGAGGGCGACAACATCCTCTGCTGCCCGCAGATAAACGGAGAAGGAAGTGACGCCACCATCAGCATCAGCCTGAGGAAGTTTGCAGCCGCAAACGAAACGTAGCGGGAAAACAGGTAAACAGAACTGCTCTGTGTTTTAAAAAATAACTCCAGCATGGAATTAGAGAAACAACACAGCAAGAACACACCTAAGATGTTCAAAGAAAAATACCATAAAGATCCAATTTATTTTTCACAGGCTGAATTTTAGTTATTTAGTTATTGCAACAGGTCCCCAACTGTCCATTTAAAATTGCACCCAATTTAAATTATGATGTAGATCAGAGGATTTTACATTTTGTCTTCATGCAGAAAATTCTCAAAGCTGTAATAAAGCATACAACGTTTCTGCTACGACTGCATGCTGACCCACAGAAGCTGCTGCAGTGTCCCTTCGTCTGTTGACAAGTTTCAGACAATCAGTGTCAACTGACAGATCACTGCGTGTGTGTGTGTGTGTGTGTGTGTGTGTGTGTGTGTGTGTGTGTGTGTGTGTGTGTGTGTGTGTGTGTGTGTGTGTGTGTGTGTGTGTGTGTGTGTGTGTGTGTGTGTGTGTGTGTGTGTGCACGGATATGAAGGAGGCATGAGTGCAGACAGCTGTAACAACACGGAGATGAAAGATCTGAAGAGAAGCGGCGCTCAACCTGCAGAGCATGTTAAGCTGTTCAGAATCCAAAGACGACAGGAAAAAGAAACAAGCAGCTTCATGCTGGAAGATATTCTTGTTTTCTGTCAAATAAAGCGAGAAACATGTTGATGTTCTGAAAATATAACTTTTAATGTAAGCAAATTTAAAACTTATTTAGACAAATAACAATACATATATTTATAAAGCTCTGATGCTTAGTCAGAGCCAGCCTTTGATTATCCATCATTCTGGTATTTATGCCTTATTTATGTACATTTGCTGTGTATTCCATGTTTGATTTCTCTGTGGTTTTAAACAAAGTGATCTTATTGACTGAGAAGTTTTGGGGTCTGCGTTAGCAACAGTATGTAAATTAAAAATATTAAATAATATATTGAGTCAAATGAAGTTTTTTTTAATATGCTGAAATGAGAAATTTGAATGAGACATTAATGTACAACACACTGACTAGATGATTAACATGTGATGTATTGTTTGTGTGTGTGTGTGTGTGTGTGTGTGTGTGTGTGTGTGTGAGGGGGGGGGGGGGTCCTCTGTGTAATGTTGCTTTACTTTTAATGCTTTTTAAATGTTTTTAAATCTAAATGTTGCTCTTGTGCCTTCAGGCAGGGGGACTACCATTGGAAATTAGCCTTTTGGCTATAATTGGGTACATTTACACTGTAGCATGTTTATTAATGCAACCTATACCTTTAAATCAAATAAAGGTTATTCAATAATCTAATTTTACAAAACTTTAATCTTTTATTTTTTGGGCTGTGATGTGATGTAGAGTTTATTTATTGTTGAGCATAATCAGGTTAAGAAATATTTTATTATCAGAAAGTGAATTTTAGAGAAATTTCTTTATAAATTAAGCTGAGCACTAATGCAAACAAGCACATTTTCACAAATATGAGAACAAAATTGTCATTTTATTACAAATTCATTTTTATGTAAACTAAGTGTATCTTTGAGAAAATTACATGCATCAAATTATGACGTTTAGCAGCAAGTTTCAGTCCTAATAGACCCATCATGGGAGAAGGTTTTTAGCATGACATCAGCAAATAAATAAAGTAATTGTAGGCTAAAGATTAAGTGAGCTGACGTGATCCTACCTGCGACAGGCGACGGCTTCCTAAATACGAGCCACCTGGTTTTCCACTGGGACACAACAAAACAAAACTTTTATGAGTAAAAACATGGTGCGCGCGAGAACTTGTGTCGTTTCCTGCCGGTAAACAAAGATAAAGTAGGCACCTTTTTCCCGTCTCGGAGTCTCGCGTATCCCTCCACAACAACAGAATCCGTCATCTTCAGTCATGGTTCCTGACAGCTGCAGAGGCGCTGCCTGAATGAAGGGTCACTTTCAAAATAGCTGCTCAGTAAACCGCCCCCCTTTTACCCCCCAGCCAAAGGGAGTCACGTGGGGGAAATGTCACGACACTGGCAGCTACCTGGCACCTGCTGCTGCTGCTACTGGGAGGAACCGTCAAAGCATTTCAAAATAAAGCTGCTACAGCTAATGCAGAAAACAAATTAGCTTAAAACATTTTTAATGTCTCTTAATAACGTTCTAACATTAGTATAGCTATAAATATATTGTGGATATAAAAAAATTAATTTAAAGTTGTTCTCTCGCATTTGTCTAAAAGCCTCCGCCATTAACACATTTTGGACTAAAAGCAATCATTGGACCATCCTGTCATTGGTCTCGCTGAACCGCCACACTAGTCTGCGTCCTCCACTTGCATATTTGGCAACAGAACACCACTGGTGTGCGAGATTCTCGGCTCAAAAATATCAGAGAAGAAGAAGTTGGCTTCTACTACTTCAACTTTAGGACAAATTATAGTCCCAAAAAGAAAAACACCACGCAAATACGGAGTGCAGGAACACTTTTGGAGTGTCATCATAAAAGTAAGTAAGCCCAATTGCATTATTGCTATAGGTTGGTGGCTTGTTGATCAGATCTGTGCTCGTTACAGTGGTCCTTAATCGCGTGAGTTATGTTCTAAAAATAACCCACAAAGTAGTCAACTTTATTTTTTACATGTTTAGTATGCAGCTACTTTTTGGGTCACACACAAAACACACCGGAGTCCGTTTCTCAAGTTTTGTTTCCAGCATTTGAACAGATTTGCGTCTCCTCCTTCTGCGCAGGAGCGCAGATTATTGATGTGCTCCAGCTTTGGCACAGTACGTGCTCCTCTCCTCGATGTGTAGAAGTAGCAGGTCTACTCCAAGCCCCTCCCGGATGACCAAGCTTCTCACCCTATCTCTAAGGGAGACCCCAGCCACCCTGAGGAGAAAACTAATTTCTGCCACTTTTATCCGTGATCTCGTTCTTTCGGTCACTATCCAAAGCTCGTGACCATAGATGAGGAACGTAGATCGACCGGTAAATCGAGAGCTTTGCCTTCCAGCTCAGCTCTCTCTTCACCATGACAGATCGGTACAAACCTGAATCACTGCAGATGCAGCACCAATCCACCTATCGATCTCATGCTGCAGTTTTCCCTCACTCGTGAACAAGACCCCGAGATACTTAAACTCCTCCACCTGGGGCAGGACCTCGTCCCTGACCTGGAGAAGGCTTTCTACCCTTTTCTGACTCAAGACCATGGTCTCAGATTTAGAGGAGCTGATTCTCATCCCAGCTGCTTCACACTCAGATGCGAACCGCTCCAACAAAAACCAGAAATCATGTTCTGATGAAGCCAACAGGACCACATCATCTGCAAAAAGCAGAGACCTGATCCTCAGGCCACCAAAACGGATCCCCTCAACAGCTTGGCTGCACCTAGAAATCCTGTCCATAATAGTTATGAACAGAATCGGTGACAAAGGGCAGCCTTGGTGGAGTCCAACTCTCACTGGGAACGAGCCGACTAACTGCCGGCAATGCGGACCAAGCTCTGACACCGGTCATATAGCAACCTAAAAGCCCACATCAGAGGGCCTGGTAACCCATACTCCTGAAGTACCCTCACAGGGCCCCCCGAGGGACGGCGTCGAATGCCTTCTCTAAATCCACAAACACATGTAGATTGGTTGGGCAAACTCCCACACACCCTCCAGGATTCCCTTAAAGGCATAGAGCTGGTCCAGTGTTCCACGGCCATGAGGAAAACCACATTGTTGTTCCTGAATCTGAATCTAATCGAAAGTGAATACATTTTATTTATTGTTAATATCAGAAATCCTGAGTTTTCTTTCTCAGGGGGAACCATCTAGAGGCAGAAAAAATGATTTGCACCTCAAGTCCTGCTCCATACCTCCGTATTTACGGCTGGAAGCAATATATATTATGTATGTATATATATACATAATATATATACATGTATATATATACATATATATTATGTATATATATATATACATATATACATATATATATATACATATATATACATATATATGTATATACAGTATATTATGTATATATATGTATACATAATATATATACATGTATATATATTATGTACACATATATACATAATATATATATACATATATATGTATATATATACATGTATATATTATGTATATATACATAATATATATATATATATATATATATATATATATATATATATATATATATATATATATATATATATATATACATACATGTTTATATACATATATATGTATAATATATATACATATATGTATATATATATATATATATATATATTATGTATATATATACATAATATATATATGTATGTATATATGTATGTATGTATATATATATGTATGTATGTATATATATGTATGTATATATGTATATATATATATATATATATATATATATATATATATATATATATATATATATATATATATATATATATATATAGTTCTGCTCACTGAACCAGGTTCATTCACTGTGCTGATTGAAATCACCTGGGTTAGTTGCTGAGCTGAAAAAAAGAACATGGCATGGAGACAACTTGTTGATGCCACAATTCCCATCTCTGCCAGCAGCTGAGGTTTCTGATATTACATGAAATTGTAAAATAGGGGTAGAACAATCTATTCTTACAGTATTGAACCCCTGAGGGGAAAAAATTCTGGTTTACGGTTTGTTTGTTTTTTAAACTAGTTTTACAATTAAGGAATAAACAAATGAAATGTTTTTTTGTTGTTTGTCTAGTGTCCTCTTAGAGACAGCATAGAACATTTTTGTCTAAAAACTAAAGTTGAAAAGAAAATTTAAATGTGTACATTTGTATAAAATAATTTTTTTGTGAACAAAAATATTGTGAAAAATATCTGCATATGTAACTAAATAAACCTGGAAATAAAAGGGAATGGGAATGTTTTATTGGTCTTACAGAAACAAAGTTTGCTCAAGTCATTTCTCAGTCATACACTTAGTTCACAGTCAAAATACATATTATAAATATCCAAGGCAGCATCATTTTAAATCTTTCTATAAATTCTAAATCAAACTAAAATTAAAGCTGAGGTCAAGTTCAGTCATAAAGTTTTGGGTTTGATCACCGAGTTGATCCAGTCCATATAATTCACCACTCTAGTGTACACCCCAGGTTTTCCCGGTTGGCCGCAGCCCTCTCCCCAGCTGATGATCCCGTACAAGAAGCTGATGTCACCCTTCGCACACGCCAGTGGGCCCCCGGAGTCACCCTGAGAAAGCACATGATTCACACAAGTAAACACACCAGCATGGATTATTCCTACAAACAGCTGAGTCACATGTATACGCGACTGTGTCAAAACGCTTTCAGGCTGAGTGGTTTGTTTGGTGGGTGAAGATGCTTGTGAATCAGAAGCTCCAGTGCTCCTCTCAGGGAAACCCCCACTGCCATCTGATGTTATCTCCAGTAGCTCCGTGATACTTTCACTTTATATCAGCGTCTCCAGAACAGAGATAGGTGCGGAACCACTAAGGAGGCTGCAGGGGGTTGAATGCAAGATATAATTTCCTGTATTCTATGGGAAATGGAAGCAAAACAACTAGGAGCCATTTTTACACATTTTATTGTGGTCAGGCAGCAACTATTACACAATCCAGTGAGGAAAAATGGGAATGTTAAAAGTTTTACAGGTGCAATATGCAGATGATGCAACAATGTATACATCCGGAAAAGATGTTGAAGAACTGAATGTAATTCTAGTATTAAGGTTATTAGAAGACAGGATTACAAAAAATAAGATGGTGATGAATGCTGGGAAGACAAAGTGCATGATAATACGGTCGAATTACTTTGTAAGAGAAGCTTCCGGTTTGAAATTGTCAGTTGGAGATGATCTAATTGAGCATGTCAAAGAAGCAAAGCTGTATGGAGTAATTCTGGATGAGTTGCTATGGTGGGATAGTCCAGTGAGACTGGTTTTAAGTCAAATGGGAAAGAATATGGCTATGGTTAAATATTTTAAGAAATATATGCCGTATCAAATAAGAAAGTTATTAGCTGAATCTCTCGTTTTGTGTCATTTAGATTACTGCTGTGTAGTTTGGTCTGCTGCGACTAGGGTGACCAGATCCCAACTTGCCAAATGTGGGACAAGATGAAGTTCCAATGTAATGAGAAAAAACTTACATTCTGCCTTTTAGCCCTAACATCACTGTTACATATACATGAAATATTTATTATTATTATCATCATATATTTCTTGTGTAATGGAATGAAATGACTGTTTTCCACCTAAAAGTCATTTCCCCCCCTCTCCTCAGCAAGAACTAATCTGCATGAGATATTGCCTCAAGGTCTCATGCATTTGCTTCTAAACTGCTTCCTTTCCAGCCCAAGAGAAGAATGAAGACAAAGAACTCTTTCTTTTTAATAAATCAAAGAACTCTATTTTTAATAAAGCTAATCAAACAAAGCGTTAGTCATTAAAAAGATGTTGACCAATCTGTGAAATGACAATGTTATGATTAGTAAGTTTTAATAAGTAATATGACTTTAATCTAGCTGCACTAGACATCCTGATCCACGTAATGTAAACATATGACACATTTTATCTTTCTCATCCAATCGGAAGCTTCCTTTCTGAAGCGTGGCATAGTCTCTGTGGTGTTTATAAATCTGTCCAACTTTGATTCGACCGTAAATCAAAACATCAAGATTAATAAAAACCAGTCCCCACGCCATCTTAGTCCAGTTCACCGCATTCTAAGAGAAGTATCGGACCGGCCACTGGGACTTCCTTTTTAAGCAAAGAACCAACAAGCTGCTGTTGCATTTTACCAACCAAGCAATGGTTCCTTTCAGAATAAAAGCTGAACTCACTGACCCTCCGGGTCCATCCGACGCTGTCAACTAACTGTCGCTTTTTACCAGGAGACAATCCAAAGACTAGTCTGTCGTACTGCTGACACTGTTTCATCGGCTCCGGTACCAAAGGGGGGGTTCGAGGACCTGACAGTCTGGATCTGTACGGAGGTCTCATTCTAAGGGTATGTGTAGAGCGACAAAATGGCATCTCATGTGTTTAAGAAACTCTGATCATAGCTTAAGAGCAAAACATCACAACATCGTTCAGACTTGCTTCTCCGGATACGAGAGTTCTTTATCTCACGTCTCATTCACACCAAGATCCATCCATTCACTTAGAATTTAGAGTTAGTCTTGTTTAAAATTGTTAAGAAATAAATCTTCTTAAACGTTTTAAAGGTGACTCTCCCTTCCGTTGTCTCTCAGTTAATACGAAGTGTTACATAATCCCTGCAATAAAAAGTTCCAATCTTCTGGTTAAAAGTACCCAAAGATCCATAAGACTGATTTCATATTTACTATGGAATCTCATGTCTTATGGTTCGTTAAATAAATGTAAATTTAACCCTTTACACTTGTATATATTTTATTTCAGTGGTGTCAAATATGCGGCCCGCGGGCCGGATGCGGCCCGCAAGCGGGTTAAATCCGGCCCGCGAGATGGTTGTGAAAACTTTATTTTCATACTTTACAATGTAGAGTGAAAATAAACTTATCTTTGTGAGCAAGTTTTCTCTGTAACGAGTATAAATAAAACAAAGCTGCGCTCAAGGCTCACACAAGAACTTGAATCACATCCTGAAGTTGGCTGCCACTCAGGATGTGACTCCTGATATTGATGTGCTGGTGAAAGCTAAAAGATGTAAAGTAAAATGAGTCAAATATACTTTAAGTGCTGCATGGAACTGATCTTGCCATGTGATCTGTAAGCTCTTTGAATCACTGAGGAATTTTTTATTATGTATTTATTTTTTATTTTTTTATTTATTTTCAAGTACACTTCAGGTGTTGTACTTGTACTACACTGTCCTCAGGCTCCAGCCTTGTTTCATAGTGATTGTATTAAAACAAAGAAAACAATCTGAAGTTTTTTTTTTATTTGACGGTCCGGCCCACTTGGGACTAGATTTCCCTCAATGTGGCCCCTGAGCTAAAATGAGTTTGACACCCCTGTTTTATTTGAATTCAACATGAAGAAGGATACAGCAAAAGCTTTACTATTTCACAGTCCCTCTCAAGTTACCACAACATGACTGTAGTGGCTCTGATCATTTTAATAAGGTAGGCCCACTATAATAAAAAAAATGCTGGTTTAAGCAGCTTTTCAGAGTTTTCATTGAATGTTTTCCACAACAGAATGACAGTAAAAGTACCAGCAACATTTTTTAGATCTATTTATGTTTGTTTTAATTAATTTTCCACTAAAATCAGCATCTCATTGAAAAATATCCATATGTTTTTGCTATTTTTTTCATAATTCAGAAACAAAACTTGTTTTAACATGACAACAAATCTCTTCTAGATTTTAGGTGAGAGAATAAACATCATATTCTAATCTAAAAAAATTCAGATCTAATCTAATAATAGTTTCTTAGAGTTACTTTTTGCCTCAAATGTCTGAGAATAACTGATCAAAGCTTCCATTTTGACCTCTTCATATCAGACTCCGCGCCGAGACACGAAAAAATGACTCAGAAACAACAAAGACTCTGTCGAGTGTCTCTGAACACGTTTAATTCACAAGTTTACAGCATTTTCTCCTCCGTGCTCGCTCATGCTTGTTCTATTTCGTCTAGTCTTAGCCCTTAAGCTAGCTGCTATTGGAAGGGTGATCTCAGCATCAGCCAATCATGAAGAGCTTAAATGTACGCCCACCAATGGTGGGCACCCCTGTGGCTATATAAGTGGAGCGACTCCACTGTTCGCTTCCGTTATCTCTTCAAGCCAAGCTTAAGAGCCTTCATTAATAAGCAGTTATCCAAGAGCACTAATCTACTCACCAACCATGTCCAGCGACGTCAGGACCTGCCGAGCCTGCCAGACGGGCTGCATCTCCAGCGGCGACCTGCACGCCAAATGTGAGGTCTGTCTCAGGGCTCATCACGCTGGCCTGGCCTTGACACCCCAGGCCTCGTGCACGTTTTGTGCCGCTCTGTCCATGGCTGAAAAGATCCGCCGGGTTGAGTACTTCACCCCCGCCAATGACGAGGAATTTCCGGTGGCTAACACATACTCGCTGGACAAGGCCTTACAGTTCATCAATGTCAGCCAGGAGCCGGCCGGCTCCTTTTGACTGGACGATGACATCGACCATAAGGAGTATGACGAGGCTGGCTGTTATAGCCCTTCTTCCCTCCTGGACAACACGGAGGTTGAAGAGCCTCCCTCAGCAGGTTCCTCTGCTCCAGTGCCTTCTCGTTGCTCCCTGCCAGCAGTTAGAGCACTGCTCCAGGAGCTACCTGCCATCATCTCCACGGCTGCAGTCTGCAAGGGGTTAGCCGTACCAGAACCGGCTCCGCCTGAAGCAGATGATTTGGCGGGAATTTTCGAGGCAACACAAATGCGCTGTCCAGACCCCATCTGGCCGCGCTTTCCCGCTGCCATGAGCTGCTGGTCCGCTGCCTTCTCCGAACCTGCTAAGCTCAAAGCGCCAATTTCCACATATGCGCCCATTACCAAAGTCGAGGGCTTCTCCGACCAGGGCTGGCCATCCGTTCCTCCACTGGAGCTGGACTTGGCCTCGCTGTTTGGTGCCAAGAACCCCCTCGCTGGTCAGTGAGCAGTTCCCGCTTCTAAGCATGACTATCTGCTGGCGCGGATCACCGATTGCGCACACCAGCGCACCTTCCAGACTGGCGCTGCAGGAAATAACATCTCTCTTCTTGCCTTTGGCGTCTCCAAAATGGTGGAAGAGCTTGAAGCTCCTGATGAGTCGAAAACCATCATTACTAAAACTGCTGGTGCCATACTCAATCTGTGCGCTGCTGTACTCACCGGTTCTGCACGCATTGCTGCCTGACAGACCCTTATCCAGCGGGCCTTGTGGCTCAAGGCCCTGCCCTCCATTCCCGAAAACCTGCACAGAGAGATGCTGGAAGGCCCCATCCCCTCTGACGTTCTGTTTGGTCCCCATTTTAGGAGCGCCATTGAGAGGGCTCAGAAGACAACTGAACTGTCAGCCACGGTGCGAGACCTGGTCCACCCCTGGTCCGCCTTTCATTCTGGCCGTTCCTCCAGAGGATGGGACAAACGGCGCGGAAACTTCAGATGCCCAGCTGCACCACCCGCCCCACAGAGCCGGGTGGTGCAACCAGAGAGTTGGCAACCAACGGTTTCGAAAGGGCCAGCAGACACCGTCTTGGCCGTCACAGTCGCAAGAACCTCGCCGAAAGCAACCACGAAAATGACTCGTTGGGGGGAATGTGTGTGTTTCTGACTGTAATGTTAACTCTGTGAATGATTTTGGTTTTGAAATAAAACCCAAAAAACGTCACATGGAGAGCACAATCCTACAGTCCTCTGCAGAACCTTCTGCCGAATCCTCACACATGTTCCCCACACCAAGCACTGCGACATACCTGCATGTTCATGCAGTCAATCATATTACACGCCCACAGCCAGCTGTACGGGTGCGCTCCATTTGCGCACCGGCCCTAGCTTCCTGCCAGGCCCGACACATCCCACTCCCCCCACAACGTAGGGTGGGACGGGATGTCATGGCGCTATCGCGTCTACGTGCAGCGACACAGTGCGTGACTCCATCCGCTGGCACTGTGTCGTCCCAGTGCACGGGTCCGACTACCACTCGTCCTTTATCTTTGGACACCACGCTCCGCGGTGCGGATCAGCCTCTTCCAGCTGTTTCCCACTCGCCTTTCGAGCGCAGCCCTCCATGGGTCGCTTCCAGTTCTCTGGTGCGAGCGACAGCGGTAAGGGCACGAACCCATTCCTCAGACGTCGTTCATGTGACCTTGAACACGCATCCACTGTCGGAACGCGCGCAAGAATGGCGCCGCCTTTGTCTCATGAGCAAATGGATATCGGACACCATTCATTACGGTCACACACTCCATTTTCAGTCTGCTCCTCCTCCCTTCAACGGGATCGTGGAGACGACGTTCATGTCACAGGAACAATCTCAGGCCCTGGAGCTACGGGAACTTCTGTCCAAGGACGCCATTTCCCAAGTTTCTCGCGGGAAAGAGCTCTCGGGCTTCTACTCCCGCTACTTCGTAGTACCGAAGAAATCAGGAGGAATGAGACCAATTCTCGACCTTTCCCTGTTCAACTGCTCCATAGCAGTGATGCATTTCCGCATGTTAACAATGAGGCAAGTCCTAGAATATGTGCGCTCCGGGGACTGGTTCACATCGATAGACCTGAAAGATGCATACTTCCACATCCCAGTAATTCCCAAACACCGGAAGTTCCTGCGCTTTTCATTGAAGGGAGTTGAATACCAGTTCAATCGTCTCCCTTTTGGCTACTCGCTAGCCCCGCGCACCTTCTCCAAATGTCTGGAGACAGCTCTGCAGCCATTGCGCACGGCGGGAATGACGGTTTTATTTTACCTGGACGATCTGCTCCTATGCACCCGGTCCAAGGACGAGGCATCAGAGCAAACCTGGGGTTTTCCATAAACTGGGAAAAGAGCTCCATCCTTCCATCCCAGTCGATTGTGTTTCTCGGGGTGGAGCTGAACGCCTCCCTAATGAGAGCACATCTATCTCCGGCGAGAGCGGCAGATCTCACCACGGTGATCTCCTGCATGCAACCCCGCAAGATCATGAGAGCCCTGTTAGTTATGAAACTTCTGGGCATGATGGCTGCAGCCCATGCTGTGGTGCCGTTAGGTTTACTGCACACGAGACGCCTACAGCGTTGGTTCATCTGCCTCCGGGTACACCCAATACATCAGAAGAGACGTATGTTGAGGGTTCCCCCTTCAGTGGGCGGGGACCTCGCTCACTGGGGGAATCCCTGCATCCTCTCACACAGGGTCCCCATCGGACGCCCTACGTCACATGTATCTGTTTTTATGGATGCGTCACTGTTGGGATGGGGGGGCACGTGCTTGTCCCATACGGTGGCAGATCGCTGGCCCTCCCACATGCACGAGCACATAAATGTGTTGGAGCTTATGACAGTGAGGAATGTGATCAGACACTTCGCTGCCCGTCTTGAGGGCCGTCATGTCGAAGTTCCCACAGACAACCAGGTGGCGACAGCCTACATAAATCGCCAAGGGGGAGTTCGATCCCTCCCACTATTGCGCGTAGCGACAGATTTACTGTGTTGGGCACATGTCCACCTGCTGTCTATCAAAGCCACCTACATTCCGGGGGTCCTGAGTGTGGCAGCAGACATCCTGTCAAGAGGGGGACCCCGCGACTCTGACTGGCGTCTTTTGATTGGCTGGACTTTTTCCTCATCCCCATAATTCTGACGAGGAGGTGGCTTCCCACCTTCACTGCCCGGTGCACGCGCTTGCATGATATGTGTCACGCACTTCAGGGATTCGCCACTCACAAAGCCTGTTTGTGCACTACAGAGACTCTTCCCTTGGGCAAGTGCTGTCAACCCAGCGTCTTTCACACTGGCTATGTGACGCCATTTCACTCGCTTACGCTTCATCAGGGTGAGATTCTCCTGAGACATTCAGGGCTCACTCAGCCAGAGGGATTTCCTCTTCTATCGTGCTCCACAGTGGTGTGTCGATGGAAGACATTTGTCAGGTGGCTTCATGGGCTTCCCCATGTTCCTTTACTCATTATTTATGAGATGTGTCTTCAGGATCCATCACTCGTTCCATGCTTGGACCTCAGCAGGCTGAGTGAAAGCATTATGGCACCACATCAGCCCTACTTGAATGAATTTCATCCTCTTGTGGATGATATTTTTAGTGGGAACCCCACTCTTCTCTCTGGCTGCCTCAGCCTTTTAAGCCCTGGGCTGAGGCTGAGCGATCCTTGTTAAGAGGAGACATGTTGGGTGTGTCCATTTGGTTGAGCTAACCAGTATGGCGTAAACCCATCCAGCTGCGCATTATTCCATTAGCAGCTAGCTTAAGGGCTAAGACTAGACGAAATAGAACGTTGGTTACGTATTGTAACCCCAGATTCTATGAGTCTAGTCGCAGCCCTTAAGCCAATGGCCCCACTGGTTCTGTTAGGACCAAGAGCCATCAGAGGCGAACAGTGGAGTCGCTCCACTTATATACCCACAGGGGTGCCCACCATTGGTGGGCGTACATTTAAGCTCTTCATGATTGGCTGATGCTGAGATCACCCTTCCAATAGCAGCTACCTTAAGGGCTAAGACTAGACTCATAGAATCTGGGATTACAATACGTAACCAACGTTTTGGTGGTTCGGGCGCGCTCCACACACGCTCCGGATATGCGTTAAATTCCCGCCTCCGTTTGATTGACAGCAACAGGAAGATTTCTCCACAGTTTCTTTTATCAGATTGAAACTCGAAACGGGAGACTGTCAATAATGACGGAGACATGAGTCTCAATTTGCAGGACACGTGAAAAGTAATGAAAATGCGGGACTGTCCAGCACAAAGTGGGACATCAGTTCACCCTATCTACAACAGAGGCTAGCCTACAGAGGCTGCAAGCTGCACAGAAATAAAGCTGCTAGACTTGTACTTAACTGCTCATTTAGAACGAATAATAATAATATGTATCAACAATTGGAATGGTTAGGTGTAAAGCATAGAATAACATACTCATTGATAAAATTGACAAGAATAATTATAATTTCAAAAACACCATACACCTTTACAATAGGTTAGTATTTTGTAGGAATGTACTTGAATATTCTACACGGATTTGTGTTTCCAGAAAATAGAATGCTCTGCATTCATAAAACGGTATTATATAGAGCTATGGTGGCCTGGAAGGGTCTACCTCAATTTTTAGTTAAACAGAAATATTTACAGGACTTTGGGAAAAGGATTAGAATGTATATTTTTGTTCTATCAGCAGGAAAGTGAATAAATATTTGGGTGACAAATGCTATGGGAATAGCAATACAATTATGGGATGAATAGTACATAGGTGTCACATTTTTGGTTGTACTTCATTTGATTTAATATTTAATTTGATATCTTTTGTTGTGTTTATGTTTTGGTTTTGCTTGGTGTGTTTGTAATTTATTTTTCTGCATGCTTGATGTAAATATTGTACTGTTTTAACAGTATCTAATGGGGATGTAAATAAACAAACAAACCTGACATGCGTCCACACATCCACCCATCCCAGCACAAATCATGTCTTCAGTGACGTGGTTCCCGTACACTCCCGGGTTCCTACAGGTGTCGTCTGAAATCAGCCTCACGCCGGCCTCTTGCAGGGTAGAGTAAGTCTTTGCCTCTGTGAAATTAAACCACATGTGACTCTCTTTACTCAAATCAAAGTGGAAAATGATTTTCAAAAATACACAGGTCCTTCAAAGGACATGTTCATTCCAACCGATAGATGAAACTGGAATAAAGCAGCATCACTCACGCTCGTGCATGCGCCCCCAGCCACTGATGGAACAGCAGTACCCCACAGGAAAGGTGATGTTTTTATCTGGAAGGCAGATGGGTCTGATGAATGGGGTTTTCCTCGCGCACCTCCCGTCCTGCTTCTTCAATTTGATCAAAACTGTCACAAAAAGATTGTTCAATAACGAGTTATGAGGCAAGTGGTAGACACAGAGACTCTGGTGTGTCGTCACACTACCACACCCAGCTGTTTGTGTGTTTAAGTGTGTACATTTGATGGGTCTGGGGGTTTATGAGACACTGGTATGTGTGAGTGGTTAAGTCTTTACCGATGTCGTGTAACGTTGGATTAAACACGGAGAACTGTTTTGGAAAGATGTAGTTGTCCACTGCGAACGTCTGGGTGTTGGAGCCGGTGACATTAAAGTGGTGCTGGCCGAGAACCACCCGGATCTGGGACTTCAGCGGACTGTGAGGGGAAAGAAGAGGTCTGAACATAGTACTAGTGATAAAACCAGTTATAGTTGTTAGATCTGATATGCGCACTTGCGGAAGAAGCAGTGTGCCGCAGCAACGATCCAACAGGGAGAGATCAGACTACCGGCGCAGAAATCAGACTGTCCGATGTAAATGGCCGCCATCCACGGATGAGTCCCCGGCAGGGCAGAAGTCCCGCCGAATATCCGGCCTCTAGGTACCGTTAACCTCTTCTTGTGCTTCGTCCCACACAAGGGATTCTTGACTGCTTTAGAAGGATTTTGTTCTTTAGCGATGGGCGGGACGTTGTAGGGGAGGACCCTTCGAGCAGCAGCTGAAACAAATTCAAATTTACTTGAAGAGGGACTGGACACCATCAGAAAATGTAACTTCACCCCTAGTCAAGATTTGAAAAATGCCGTAAAAGTGGGCGTTGCCAGGAGGCACAGAGTGGCATGGCCAAGTGTGGGGAATTTCCATCCTGGAAGAGAGGGGGAGTGTCATGTTCTGCGTCGCCCTCATATGTCTCCTTGTGTTCTCCATCCCCCTCTAGATTCCCCTTATGTGCCTGCTTGTGTTCCCCAGCCCACTCCAGGTTCTCTCTAGGTTTCCCTTACGTTAGTCTTCTGTTAGTGTTGATTATCTAGTCGTATTCTCCCTTTAGTTCATTTTGCTCCCTTCCCCATTGTTAGGTCTGGTTTCCTCCCCTGCTCCGTTGCGCTCCTCCTCTCTGTTTTTAGTCTCACCTGTGCACAATTCCCTAATCACCCAGCCCTTGTGTATATAACCCTGTCTGCGTCTCAATGTGATGTTGATTCATTGTTGTTGATGTCAGCGTTGTTCTGTTCCCCCCACTAGGTCTCTAGGTGTTTTGCTCTAAAGTGAGTTTTGTTTTTGCATCTCAGGTTCTTGGATATTAGGTTTGGCTTCCTGCCCCTTTTGGATTTTTGGATTTTGGACTCTCTTCCTAAATTAAGAATTTTACTTTGACTTCGCACCTGTCTTGTGTCGTTCTGGGTTTCTGCATCTTGGGTCCTAACCTGCTCCTGGCTCGCAAAGTGACAGGGAGTGGGAGGAGACTGTACCGATGACCAGTGATGGGAATAACGCTGTTTAAAATAACAGCGTTACTTATGCCGTTCTTTTTTAGGTAACGGAATAATCTAATTAATTACTTTTCCCACTGTTGCAACGCCGTTACGTTACTGGGGATGGAAGGTTGTGCGTTACCATGTGCTTGTCGAACGTTGAGCAACAGTGTGAGGCTTTCTGACCGCCACACTTCAGCTGCAGCCAGGGAGAGAGAGGTGTTGGTAACACACTTACAAACACAATGATGATTGGCCGGGTGGGCGGAGACCCTCACTGTCTCAGTCGCTGCCTGCTGTAGACACAACAGAGCAGTGATGGGAATAACGCCGTTTAAAATAACCGCGTTACAAAAAAAAATGCCTTTCAGTAACGAGCAAACTAATTAATTACGTCTTCTTGTATCAAAACGTCGTTTCTGTTACTGATAAGAAAATGCGTGCGTTAAGCAGCGCGGTGTGTTGAAGCTGTCATCAGCTGATCAGGAGCTAAAGAGGCAGATGTTTTCATCCAAGCGCATCACGGCCATGAAGAACGAGGAAGACGTGATGAATAGTCTACGGCTGCAGGTGTGGATCTGCAGCAGTGCCCTTCTTAGCGTGACAGCGGGACGTCCCGAAGGTCCGCTCACCTGTTCACCGCTCAGACGTCCTGATCTTCTGCCTTCCTAGATCATCCAGCTGTAACCTGTTTCTGATCATGTCTTTAGTCCCGCTGTAACACTGATGCATCAGTCTCACACGTCATGGAGCTCAGGTGTTATTAGAACTACCTGTGTGTGTTTACCACCCAGCTTCAGCTCTTCTGTGGTTGGGTCTGACCCAAGTTAGTAAATGTAAGTCCTCCATCAGGCTTGTGCCTCTTCTAGTGTCATTTTAAAGGCTTTTATATATTTATTTAACCGTTACTAGATTACCAGCAACAGAAATGTTACTAAAACACACAATTATGTGAAGCTGGAAAAATTAAAATACTGTGCAAAATTACATTCATTTCTGTAATTTAACTAGACTGAGAGACCATTTAAAGGCTCAGGAATCTTTACAGGTGTTTCTATTTGCAATTTTAAATTTTAGCTGATTGGGGTCTTGTTAAATATCACACAGTGACCTGTTAATAGTCTAGATTAGTGTAATGCTCCTGTTAGTAGTTCCTCCTGTTAAGTGCTTATTTATTTAAATTATTCAGGTTTATAAAAAACATTTGGACATACATTTTATTATGTTTCAGTCATTAGTCATTTATATTTCACTATTGTAGTAATTTAAAGTAAATTAAGTAAGTTCAATTAACCCATTTTTCTTGCATTCTTTAATGAAAAAAGTAACTAAGTAGTTATTTTGCTTGGTAATTAGTTAATTTTATAATCTCGTAATTCGGTAAGTAACTGAGTTACTTTTTTGACAAAGTAATTAGTAACTATAACTAATTACTTTTTAAAAGTAACGTTTCCAACACTGCCGATGACGTGAAATTGTACCAGCCCCAGTCAATCACAAGTTTAAAATGCAGTAGCTGCTGTTCTGCCACAGGGGGCAGCACTAATACATTTTTAGACCTTGGGTGTGTCCAAATCCAGGGGCAGGATGCTTGTGGGGATGCATTTTGAGGTCAATGACGTCACAGCGCAGCGGCGAGTACTGTCCGAATTCCAAGAATACTCATTCTCGCGTCCTCAAATGCGTCCTCGCTCCGCCCACATTTCGAGGATGGGTCTGTTGTATCCTCACAGAACAAGGCTATCCCAGCATGCTTTGCGCGCCGGCTGTGGATTTTCAACAGGAAGGGAAAATGGGGAGAGCAACGAAGTTTTTAATGCAAGTTTGTTTAGAAACTAGCCATAGAAAACTAAAAAGCTTAAAGTGGATCAGGTTATACACATTTTTTGTTTGTATTTGTTTTTTAAATTACATTTTAGGTAGAAATCAAGCTGAATGAAAGAGGCCTTCTACTGTCATGTTAATGTTATTTAGCTGTTTGAAAATTTGAACACATTTATTAAAACAAATACTAACTGGTAACTCTTTCTGGTCATTGATTTAATCACCAGTTTTATTATTACAGATGTTTTTGAACATGTTACATGAACAGAACAAGAAAAGATGGTAAGGAGACAAGATTATTTATAATAGGTTACACTTATTTACAGATCAAAACCAGTATGGACCAGTTATGTACGGTTAAAGCAGGATTAACCTGAGTGACTCTTCCTGGGTCATTTATTTAAACTGAGTGAGCAGGAAGTCTTTAACAGTGCAGCTGGATCTGCTGCAGGAGGATCCAGACGTGGATGGAGGGCTGGAGCAGACCTGTGGCTGGACGTTTCTGGTCAGAGGAACATCATACAGGACGGTCTGCAGAGAGAGCTTTGGGACGCTTCCTCTCACTGTCCACTCCATCGTCCATCTACAGGGCCTGCTGGGCTGGCTCAGGCGACGGCTGTTACATCTCTATGAATGACTTGCCTGTTAACAGCAGTGGTGGTCTGCTGGTACCTCCTGCAGGACAGAGCACCACTGACCTCCTCCACACACATCTTCCTCAGGCTCATCCTCCAGACCCACAACTTCACCAGCACCAATGCAGATGTGCAGCACAGTGCATGCTGACCTGTAATAGATTAAAAAATAGTTTTATTTAACTGAAAAATGTAAAAAAAAAAAAAAAAAAAAAGAACTATGACCTGCAGAACATTGGTTCTATTCAGTTTAAAGAAAGGCAGCAGGGAATAGTTAAATAAAAACTACAGATAATTACATTTTTAAGACAGATCTAATCATTATTAGGCTTAAGTTGAATAAACAAATGCACATTGAAAACACTTCAATGCTATTTTATTAAAAAGCCTGTCTTTTTAAAGCATTTTACCTTCATTTGATGCAAAAAAAAGAAGCTCTAACGTCCAGTTTACATTAAAAAACATCCTACTGCATCCAACATTTATAATGCATTTGGTTTATATTAATTACCTACATGATAATATTCTGTAGAAATGTGTTGTGTACCTTTAACAAGTTCATTCTGTAGCTTAAAACATACATGAAACCATCTAAAGTTAACATGTAAGTCCTGAAAGCTTCTAGAATAAACAAAGTTACTTTACCTGAAAACGGTTGTGAACAAACGCTGCTGATGGACGTGAAGTTGCTGCAGCTCCATCTTGGTTTTTGCTAGCTTTAGCATTTTTCCTTTGCGTGTAGCTGCCGCCACGGCTGTGGTGGGACCGATGGGCCACCGTAGAGGTGAAGGCTAGACTGTCCGAATTCAGAGCCGCTGGGTTCCGGTCTTAGCGGTCTAGCACCGGCGAGGACCCGTACTCATAAGCATCCTGCCCGTGGATTCGGACACACCCTTAGATTCTAGATTTAATCAAGTTTTCACAAACATGTCAAAAATGCACAAAAACAGAAAGATTGCATTTGTAAAGACCAAATTATACAGTTAATTAGCAAAAAATAAGTTATTTTAGGGTTTACTTCCTCTTTAATTTCTCTCTTGTAGAGTCATAATTGACTTCTTTAATCCTCCTTGTGATTTTTTGACTTAAATGGTTCTCTCAATACGTTCAGGGTGACGGAGCCTGCTCTTGATGCAGATCATATGCTGAAGAGGCCACAACCGATGGGAACAGCTTGTAAAATCTGCCTGGCTTCGTGACAGCAGACCAACTGTTCCAGATCCCACTCAGCGCATTAACCACACCTGATGTGACACAATGTGTGACTCACATGTTCAAAAAAAAAAAAAGCTTCCTAACGAAACCACTTGACTTTGCTGAATCTACCTCTCCAGAGTGGTGCGACTGAGCAAAGACGGGCTAGATTTGGGTTTTCTATCACAAACGGTAAAATATTTGATTAAAACAGGAGTCAATTAGACTAGAAATCCAAACAAGGTGCAGCAGTAACTACAGATTTTGCTCTGCAAGTCGCTCTAGTCACACTCCGTAGGCGTCTCAGCAGGGCCACCATTGGCTCAGATAAGTTTAGGCCAGGCCAATCACAGCACTCTATGTTCGTATAGAAATGTTTTGCAGGCTTAGCACCATTACGGTAGAGCATTTTTTTATGATGAGCTGCAATGGAGCTAAACACCAAAGATGGCGGTAATTCTAGAATGGCGCTTGTTTGAAACGGCTTCGTTGGCGGTGTACGATGGACCGCCCCATTGACAGATTTCCGTGGCTTTGAATACGTCATGTTTTTGTTGCTCTGATTGGTCCTAGCGCCATCCAATTGTGTGCAGAGACTCTTTTAAAGACAACTGTATTTTCTGCCCAATGACTGAGCTCTGTCCATGGGTTGTGGCCAGACTATACACATAATATATATGATGCTAGCCAGGCTACGTCCCAATAGCATTAAAGCTAAACTAGAGTAAAGATGCTGAAGGGTCCTTATGAATACTTTTCGAATGCTAATTGAAGATGTCAGTCTAGATCGTATAAACCACCAGAGCAGTCATTTCTGCTCAAATACACCTGTTTTTAGGCCAGAGTCCAACTGAGCTGTTACTAGCTGAGTAGCAAGGAAGCATGCAGCTTTTCTTACCGAATAGGTCTATATGACAGTTTGATAACTAGCAGGGATCCATGGGATATGTGACATATGGGCAAATAAATCACAACTGTTGGCACGTAGCATGTGGTGGGGGTTGAAGAATGTTTTGAGCAACAGTGCAGCAGTGCCACAGAAAATTCTGCATATTTGTCACAGCCCATTAAAGCTCTGATAGGTCATGGAGTGTGCAGCTGGGCTTTGATCTAACCAGAACATCTTTGTCCATGTCGCTTTAGTCTTTTTAGCATCAAGTCTGTCTTGTTTAGCATGTAGCTTAGAGATGGTTGTGTTTTTGTGGTGTTTTTTTTTTCTTTCTAATTGTTTTTGGTCAAATTGAAGTTGTTTTCCTGTCTGTTTTAGTCCTTACCAGTTTTCGTTTTCATAAAATTAAATTCAGATTTAGTTAAGGTTTGGTGTTGCTTTATGTACGTGCCAAAAAAGTTGTTTTACGTCTATTTTTAATTGTATTTTTAACAGATTTTCTTCATCCTCTTTGCTGTCGTGTCACATCTCGTTGTTAACATCCTTTGGAGCATTTGAGGGGATATTTAGAATTTCTTGATCTCTGTTGGCTTCTCAGATCGGGTTCAGTTGAATAAAAAACGTCTTCCCTGAGCCAAGGAGGACACTCACCCAAACGCTGCACGCAGAGCGGGATGTCACAATACTCCCACGAGATGGCGCTGTCAGTAAGTGTGTAGCACCATGGCCTCTGGTCCCCATCTGGGTTTCTGCACACATGAGCACATGGCTCTGGTCTCCAAAATGTCACAGTGGCAAAGGCAGCATTGTTATAAGAATGTTTAAACCAAATTAATAATTCGTCATGAATAATAACTAGAGGTGGCAGCTCTACACAGGTGAAGCCATGGGACAGGAGCAGCCATGTTGTGTTTTGGAATCAGAATCAACTCAGGATGTGGGGCTAAGTTTCCTGCCTGAAGTCCCAGGAATACTTTATAACAATTATTTTTAGATTTGATTATGGGCATTTATATTTTTAGATTTATTTAGACTAATTAAATATATATACAGTTAGATTTGTTTCAGAATATTTAGATTTTTATTTATATATTTAAAAAATTCTGAATATTTAGATATGTATTTATATATTTAGAATTATTTCTGAATTTTTACATTTTAATTTATATATTTAGATTAGTTTCTGAATATTTACAGTATATTTGTTTTTGTTTCTGAATATTTAGATTTATTAGTCAATTTTTTCATCTCCTTCTCACCAATGGTTGCAAGCTTTAGATAATAAACTAAAGAAAAATAGTGTTAATAAACAAACAAACTATGTATATACCGTATTATCAAGAGTTGTTTGTGAAAATTAGGATTTTCATTTAAATATGTAGATTTTATTTTAAATACTCATTACAATTCAAAATTAAATGTGATCAAATATAGATGGTGATTTTGAATGCATATCTTTATAATCCACATAATAATGTTCACATTCTTCATAAAACTAAAGAAATCTCTTTAACACTCACACACACACACACACACACACACACACACACACACACACACACACACACACACACACCTGCAGAATGCATGCTCCCCAAGCCCTTTGGTGACCCATGAGGCCACCGTGCCCACGTGGAGCTCGTCGTAGAGCAGATGGGAGTCCCAGGGCAGACACCGGGCACCAGACATGGTGGTGCTCACCGCTCCTCTGTAACCTGTGCCCCTACCTTTGTAACACTCTGTGTCTGGCTCTGCACACATAAGACACAGAGGCACACAAATCAATCTTTAAAAAAAGCAATGCATTGTGGGTAAAACACTCACAATCATTAAAAAGAAACACCCTCTAATCTGGACACACGTAGCTTCTTTCTCCCAGATGCAGCAATAAAACAGGCATTGTTTTCAATAGTTATTTTAGTTTATCATGTCATTTTGAAAACTTGAAACAGAAACACATTAACGTTACTTACTGATGCTGCATCTAGGTCCATCAAAGCCGAATCTGCAGTGACACACCTGCTTTCCCGTGGATGAGATCATCCGACACGTTCCATGGTTCTGACAGGGATTCATGCTGCACTCTGGACCCAACAGAGACAAACACATCACTAAACATTTGACATTTGCCGTCTGTAAATAAGAAAAAACCGAGGTGGCATGACAAACGGTCGTCTGAGCTTGCTTATTTCAGCAAATCATTCCAAATGCAGCACAAATACATGTTATTTAAAAAAGCTAAACAGAAAGTGGTGAACGTGTTGCTGGAAATAGATTTGAAATGTTCACGCTGTTACATTTTGTTTTGAAGCAACCAAAGTTTCCTCCAGTCCTTTAAAGCTGCAGTTTGCAGAGGGTGCTGCAGAGAGCACACCTTGTGGCCATTAGAGGAACTGCAGTCAGCAAGATGCTCACTCCTGTGACATTCGAACCTATTTCATTATTTACTTAATTATATGCATATTATTTTGTAATTATTTGCTGGTGATAGTTGGCTGGTTTATAATAGGGAGCTCTGGGGAATCTGGTGGGCAATCACTGAACGTTATCCCAGCGTCAGTCAGCCACAATGGGACTGCCCTCAGAGGTCTCAACGCTCCCTGCCCAGGTCCTAAAAATCCCAACGCCCTGGAGCTTAGAACCAGAGATGAGTTGCTCAAGGATTAACCTTCAAACGCACATTTCCAGCTGCTAGCTTAGCTTATCTAGCCGCTAGCTAAAGGAGAACATGGCCTCCTCAAGAACACGCCTACGTCAGAGCACACACTCTTACAAGGTGGCATCAACCCCAACCATTCAAAATAAATGGCATTTCTGCTTCGACATTCAATCACAGCAAAATGTACTAGATTCCTTCACATGGTCAGGAGATGAAAACTGGATACAGATTAGGGCTGAAGTGGACCGTAATTCAATAATGATATCTATCAATAGACATTTTTAATATTTATCAGTAAATATTGATATCGATCAATACAACTGTTTTTTATCAATATGTTTGTTTTCTATATCGTCCAACCTAATATAGATTTAATAAACAATTTAACATACATATTACATATTGCAGCTTTAAAGTGACTTTGATCATGAGTTTTTCAGACCTTCTGATCTCGGCCTCCTTTTTGCACAGTTTCCCTTTCAGTACCTTCACCTTTAGAGGGGTGTGTGTGCTTATCAAATCCAGTCTTACCTTTGGAGACAAACTGCACACATTCCTAAAACAAAAGTGCTCTTGTGGCTGGAGTTTTGAAGATGTTCAAAAATAATTTCTGTCAAAACTGTTGCAGATGTTTGTCTGTATGCCTTTTTAATTTAGCTGCAGCTTACAGCAAAAGTAACGTTTGTTCATAATTTTTGGTTGGAGCCATCGACGTATAAATATTGGACAATGGGTTTCCATAGACTCCAATAACACGTTTTTGTGCCAAAATGGGAGGTGGCCACCCCCGCCATTTTGACCGTGTCACAGGTTCCGTCAAGCCCAGACAATTCCACAAAAGGGAAGAGAGGAGGAGCTGAGGGTGGGGCTGTAAGGCTGGGATCAACTGACGACACCCGGTCAAGCTAACCTGAAGCTAACCCAAAGCTAACGCGGAGGTGGGAGCTAAGCTAACGGAGGTAGCAACCTAGCTACAACCGGAGATAACTGTGCACAACACCAGAGCTTCTGAGTCAGATACGCCGGGCTGAACACAGAGGTCTCCCGAAAGCTGCTGAAAGCCGGCAGCCCGCGCAGCAGACAGAGATGCGCCGAGCTGTGGGGAGGGGAGAAACGGGTGGAAAACATCGGTCTCCCGAGAGCTCCACAAGCCGATAGTCGGAACCCAGCTCCACTAACATGTTATATTTCAACCCATTTTCTAAAGTGCAGCATTATGTTAAATGCACTGGGTTTTACCCTATTACATTTAAATTTCATGGTTAAACAGTACATGTTAAAATCTAAACTCAGCTCGGCAGTGACCTAAAATACATAAATATAATTTTACTTACCGAAAAAAATGAAGTGGAGACTCCTTGGACGCTCTATTAGTGCAATTAATGCCACAGCAAGTCATTTTGTCCAACAATTGCACAAAAAAAATATCCAAAACAGAATACACAAACACAGAGACTCAAAACCCCGGAACAGTTTCCAAGCCAGACCGAGGCTCTACTGAGGCTAGCTCTGTGGTCACGTGGGTCTGATGCTCATTAATTATACAAAATTTTAGGCTTTTAATACACTTAAACAGAAGAGTGAGAAAAAAAATTCACCCCCCTCAGAGTTGTCATGAGTGTAAACTAGATAATTTAAACCAAAAACATGTTTTGGTACCAGGCTGTAAACATGTTTATTTCTGCTGTGAAATTGGTATTTTTAACATGGGAGTGAATGAGGATTTGCTCGCTTCTGACACCAGCCCCCAGTGGATGCAGGTGGAGCTGCAATTTTTGGTACTTCTGGGTTGGCCTCAATTTTTGAGCCGCATTGTGGGGGCTTGCTTGGAGCACTGAATTAAGTCCAAGATCGCTCCCTCTGACACACAAAACATCCAGACGATAGACTGGACCGGCCTTTCCATCCGATGTGTAGAGTAATAAACGTAACCGTTCCCACAAAGACCTTCAGGAAGAAGACTCACACATACCACCAGCATTACATTAATATTACCATACGCTACAGGTAAATGGGTACAAAAGGCAACACATGGTTAACCTGTACTGTTCATGTAGAATTAATGCTAAATTATTAGATTTAACATGATTTACATGACTAGTAATTTACGGTGTAAGCTAAGCCTGTGCCTGTAGCTGACTATGCACCCCCCACTGAGACAAAAGGCAGAGTAAAGGCCCATGGGGTGTGTCCTATTTACCTCCATACTGACTCACTGTGAGACATTAGGTCATATAAACCCCGAAGTTTCTCTGCTGACTACACAGCTGGGATCAAACACGAGGCCGGGCCGGCCTTTCATACATTTTACTAAAAGCTGCGTTACTGTAGAAGAACAAGAAAAGCCCCTTTAGACGAGGGGGGAACCCGACACTTTCATTTCTGAGGCATGATGTCAAGAAGAAGAGAAGCATTCTTGCAAGGTGTTCTTTGCTATGAAAGCTCCCTACGTAGCAGCGTCTGCAACGTGTCGCCGTAGACGATCCCCGCTAGGTCGCCGAGTTTTCACTCCAACAAAGGAAAGACACAGTTGATGCACGGCCACAAAGCGGCTCTTACTTGTGTAGTGGACTCTTTGACACTCGATTTCCCCCGCCACACATGTGCACTGCTCCACATTACGGAGGTGAATCCGTCCCCAAGACTCTCCGATGTCATAATGGTGCAGGTGTAGGGTTTCATAGCACGTCTCTGAAAGGCAGCAGGTTGGAATGTGAGAGGAGATAAAAGAGCTCAGTGGAGCGTAGCGGCAGAGCCTTTGATGACCGAGCTGTGAGAAATGCTTTACCACTGGATGCATGGACTCTTTTTTTTTTCATTCAAAGCTGCTTTAGTGATTTCAAATGCAAACTAAAATCTGAACACATACAAATATCCAACTAGATCACTCAATGCAATAATTCTTCAGACATATTTAAGGTCTTAAAAGAGATACTTTAGACATTTTCATGTGTTTCTATGTAAAAGTTAGATGTTGTCCTTCAGGAATGATAAGCTAATGGCTAGTTTGAGTGGAGCCAAAGTATTTCACTTTCCCAGAAGTGAATACAAACATTTAGATTACAGCAGATCTACATGTAAATGTATAAATATTATTATTTACCTATTCTAATTTCATTTTTGTATATGATACATATGTGTTCTATTCTATGGTTTGTTGAATTATTTGCAAATGTGGGACTAGAGAGTAAAAACAACATGACAGAGAAATACAAGCGTCACATGGGGTGCTTCTCAATGTCAAGGCGCCTGGCCTAGCAAGGATGTCTTGCTAGGCCAGGCGCCTTTCTTATGAGGACACTATCCTTCCTTGGTCAAAGACAACAGTTAAATGGAACAGACTTCATCTCACGTGGCCACGGCTCCAGTGGTGGCACGTCGTGTCACATGACACGTTAGGTAAAGTTACATTTTATATGTATAAATTATGTACAACGAGCCTTTTGCTTTTTTTATTGTGTATATACTCGGTGTATATATTTTTTCATTTATTGGTTTATAGAGCACCTTCCACAACCCTAGCAGAAGCCCAAGGTGATGAATGCAACAATAAAAAGCTAACACAATAATAAATACAATTACAAGATAAAAACTGAATAAAAAAAGCATAAAAACAGATAAAAGAGAAAACAATTAAAATCAAGGCAAAGTTGCAGACCCCAATGGTGAAAACGCCTGGGCATAATAACGGGCCCTCAGACAGGGTATATCTTGGTTAAATTTAGGAATGCACAATATATCTGCATCAATATCGGTATCGGCCGATGTTAGTCCTTTTTAACTTATCGTATCGGTACGATAAATAAAACTTATCGAATAAAACCGATATTTTTGCAATATTTTTTCCATTTGTTAATCTGTTTCAGACGGTGAGGGGGTTCTGTGCATTTGTTTAGTCATGTGACCGTGATTGTAACTATCTCAGAAGCGTAAATGTGTGAAGTGTGTGTACATAACAATGTAAATTCAGCTTTGATAGTTTTCAGTCTATACAAAATCTTTTAGATGCATCAGTGTCAGTATATCGGTATCGGCAAATATTGGTCATCGGCCATAACAGTGATATTAATATCGGGTATCGGTATCGGACAAAAATCTCATATAAGTGCATCCCTAGTTAAATTAAACATGTAAGCAAGTTACTAGCTGCTAGCCACCGAAGCTGAAACTACTAAGCCACTAACCAACCACAGATAACTGCTTTGGATCTAAACAACATTTCAGATATCAGCCCAATAGCTAAGATAAGCTGACTTTCATTTAGACTGAAAATATGCCCCGAAGTAGCTGCTGGCTTCTGATCTGTCATTCTTTTGAAAACACTGCGCTGTATTCTCATTCAATCAATCAATCAATCAATCAATCAATCAATCAATCTTTGTTTACATTTATTTATATTATATTTTGGGAACATTTTGACCAAGGCCAGGCTAAAAACACCTCCCGTGTATCCTTGCTCAGCTAGCTAAACGGCTAACAAATGAAGAACAGATGCCTCGGTAGAATGTGGTGATGGGAACACGCCTCAAAGGTTCCTGATGAAGTATCTCCTGGGCAACCGGGGCAGAACCAAGGCATCAAAGCAAGGTTCCTTGACATTGAGAAACACCCATAGACACCAAAAACTGCGTCTCATTTACTTCTGCTGAAACTGCATTGATATCAAGGAAAACAACTCTTGATGAAGGAAATACTGCCAACAAAAACCTACTTTGCTCACATAAACTTCCGGAGAACGCATCTGGACATGAGCACTCGAACGAGCTGATCTGTGAGACGGACATGCAGACGCCTCCATTCTGACACGGATTCAACCGACATGGATCGAGCCCAGTATGAGACGAGTTTACAACACCTAAAAAACACCAAAGAGGGAATAAACAGTCAAAGAAGGAAACAAAGGTATCACTGTCACCTCACAAGAGAGGATTTGTGCTTTTCAGTTTGACAAACTCACTTTCGTACTGAACACAGAAATCCCACTTCCTGTCCCGATCAAAGTTGTGTGTGAGGGAGCACCTAGGAGAGGAAAAATGGGAAGATCACACACTCAATGTGTTTATAATCCAAACAAACATCATGTATTTTATTAAAGGTGTGGTTCACTCATTTAATCAATACATTTGCAGCGGTGAATGAATGCTTAGTCAGTTGCACTGGGGGGCTACGATGTGCAAAAAGGCCATAGCTGGGATTTGTACCTGCAAATATCTTGCTGCCAGGCAACTGTGCCACCTATGCACATACTATGCAGCCATAGTCAGGGTTCCAATTATGGGGGAGCTAGGGGGAGCACCAGCTCCCCTGAAAGGGTGACAGGTCGTAGAAGCCCTCAACTTAACCACCCAGGGGGAGCTAGATAGAAGACCTTGTTTCTACCAATATTACATTATTTATATGGACTCTCAGAGTACTGGGACATCTTCTGAGCAGAGAGGAGCGAGAGCGCCGATTGTTTGTGCGCACCAGGCAGCTGTGTCCTGCGCATGGCAACATTCTCAAAGTGGCACCACCAAAACCAATATAATTAACACTGTTGTTCATGTCTGCTCATATTCTTTGGAGTTTCTGTCTTTTACTTGTGCCTGGCATGCTCCTCTGAAGCAAATCTCATCGCTTGTGCTTGCCTCACTGGCGCGACCACACACCTCACACCCCGCTATTTTTGTGATCGGTAGATCCCTTTGATCTGCTTAGTTCAGAAGTAACTCCATCCATCCATCCTCTTCCACTTATCCGGGGGAAGATCGCGGGGGCAGTAGCCTAAGCAGAGACACCCAGATCTCCCTATCCCCAGCCACTTGGGCCAGCTCCCTAGGCGTTCCCGGGCCAGCCGAGGAACTCATGGCACTTACACTCTAGCATCAGCTCCACTCCGCCTGGACTGGATTTGGAGTGTTCTCATTTGGGTAGTTCTTAGTTCTCTTTCTAGTTGGACGTGCCCTGAAAACATCACCAGGCGTTCAGGAGGCATCCTAACTAGATGCCTGAACCACCTCAACTGGCTCCTCTCAACGTGGAGGAGCAGCAGATCTACTCTAAGCCCCTCCCAGATGACCAAGCTTCTCACCCTATCTCCAGACACCCTGCGGAGAAAACTCTTTTCAGCCGCTTGTATCCGCAATCTCGTTCTTTCGGTCTCTACCCAAAGCTCATGATCATAGGTGAGGGTAGGGCTGTCACGGTAACCGGTATAGCGGTAAACCCCGGTAAAAAAGTTGGCAATGAAAATAACCGCCCAGTTTTTAAAAAACTAAATTATCTCGGTGGGTTTACCGTGGCCGCGGTTTAGGCGCGGTGACCCTTACCAGCCACCGTCGCTTCTGCCGAAGTTCCCGCGCACACACACTTTTTACTTTGCAACCAAAACTTTGAAGCTGGAATAATGGCCGAAGGAGGAGACGGCAGCGCCCAGGACATCCATCAGCCCTCAAAGAAGACTAAATCGGAAGGATGGGCATATTTTGGATTTCTGAAAAATGCTGAGGGACAGTTAATAGAAGACTGCTATCCCGTTTGCAGAACGTGCAGGAAACAAGTGTCTGCAAAAGGCAGCAACACTTAGAATCTAATGGCACATCTGCGTGACCATCACCCACGTCTCTACAGCCAGTGCAAGGTAAGTTGACATTAGCATTTTAGCTTAAATGCATGACGTGAGGACTTTTGGTTGAGGGAGAATGCAACGAGTCACTATATACTGCAGCCGCAGCGTCCTCTGCCAGCATTTAAACCGTGTCACGGACACCCTGTTGCTGGATGAAGCATCTTATTTGTTGATGATGAAGAGAAATATACAATTAGTTCCTTGTCATTGATTTGTTTACTTATTCAATGTCATTTATACTTGAACATTTGGATTTGATTACATAGTGTAGTAGTTATTTTAGTAATTTGTTTAAAGTGGCTATTTGTTTTAAATACATATTTTTTAAGGTTGACTTGTACAGTGCTCAAGTCAAGTGTGGACTGGAGTTTTAGATTTTCATTTTGATAATGAAGAAAACAAGTATATGAGAAAACAAGTGGTGTTTCTTTGATTTGTTTACATATTGTTTATGGTTTGAATGTTTGGATTTGTATCATTTAAACCTGCACTGACTACTGTAACAAGTTCCAGAAAAATAAGCTATTTGTTCCTTTACTTGTGAAAAGTTGCACTTTTGCTAAGGCTTTGTGTTATTTTAGGTTTAATAAACACTGTTAAACCTTTTCAGAACTATTTCAGTTTGTGTAGAACAGGACTATCAATGCTTTCTGAACATATGCAACACCGTTTAAAAAATACCGCGATAATACCGAAAACCGTGATAATTTTGGTCACAATAACCGTGAGGTTAAATTTTCATACCGTGACAACCGTAGGTGAGGGTAGAAACGTAGATCGACCGGTAAATCGAGAGCCTCACCTTCCAGCTCAGCTCTCTCTTCACCACAACAGACCGGTACAACACCCGCATCACTGCAGACGCAGCACCAATCCGCCTATCGATCTCACGCTCCATCTTTCCCTCACTCATGAACAAGACCCCGAGATACAACTTAAACTCCTCCACTTGAGACAGAACCTCATCCCTGACCTGGAGAAGGCATTCTACCCTTTCTCTGATTCAAGACCATCAAAAGTAACTCATGAGGTGAAACAGTAGGAAGCAGAAGGCAGCAGTTTTTCTGGAGGACTGAGAGGAGATACAATAAGATGAGCGAGAAATAGAACAGGAAAATAGTGAAAAAAATCTAAACAAAAACAAAGTGCTTGAAAAGGAAAATGAAGGAATATGTATCCCACTACACTTTTTTTTTACCTTTATAAAGAAATAATTTATATACATGTAACATTTATCTTTTTGATACAATTCAGATCACCTTCAAAACCAAGTTCCACACTCAGGGCCATTTCAAGGCATTTTGGGGGCCAAGGCAAAGTAGACACCCCTCACCCCCCGTCTCATTGTGCCCCCCTGGAAGCCTCTGTGTAATTTGTACCCTGCATAGTATTAACATGTTCACAAAAAATTCAACAACATTCAAACCAGCGTCCTAAAACATGAACAAATATAGTAAAATGCATAAAAATGAAGGAATGAATGAACCATTTGGCTTTTGTTATTATATATAAATAGTGTGAAATACTGTTGATCACCTGTGCGACGGTGGCACAGGAAGGTTGCAGGTTCGAGCCCTGCTCAGTCTGTCGCTGTGTCCTTGGACAAGACACTTAACCCACCTTGCCTGCTGGTGGTGATTGGAGGGACCGGTGGCATCATTACACGGCAGCCTCGCCTCTGTCAGTGCACCCCAGGGCAGCTGTGGCTACATCGTAGCTCATGCCCACCAGGGTATGAATGTGTATGTGCATGGGTGAATGACTAATTGCGTTGTAAAGCACCTTGGGGGGTTCCAGGACTCTAGATGGCGCTATATCAAATACAGGCCATTTACCATTTACCTCATCATGAATTTGCAATTTTTGCTAGCTTACAAGCTGGAACTCTGTCAATCATCCACAGGTTTTACCTGCAGCAGCAGCATACCTCTGCGGCACTCAGGTGAGTTTACAATCCAGAAAGTATTGAAACAGGGATCTGAGGATTAGGCAGCACGTGGGCTCCTGTTGCAGAACCTTTAGTTGTAGGTGGACCAGAGGAGTTGGTCCATATATAATTGCATACATACTGCTCCGACTTGTTCACACCTCCACCCTTCCTGTCTCGGCTCCAAGTGATGATGACTGGAAAGGCCCTTCAGCGACATTGTTGTTCTTTCCAAAATAGTAAAACGAAGATACCGTTGCTGGGTTACGATCCACGGTAATAAAGACAAATGCATAAATCGTGGTTTTACTGTGACAGCTGATTATGCAGCTCTGGGATAGACTGAGACGAATGGTAAAAGTGGTGTAAACTCCAGATATTATCACACTTTCTGAATAAATGTCAGTAATTATCTTGGCTTTTAAACATGGATCTGATTACATGATTAATTCTGTGATTTATTCAGTTCTTTCTAAGATTCAGACTCACCACGGTGTTGAGGTGGTGGTGGTGATGCAGTCATGATGAAGCCTTCCACCCTGTCGAAATGGGAACTTACACTCTTTGCCAGATTTGGTAAAAACTGAGAAAAGAGTGAATAAATGATTATTAAAATCAGAAATCCACATTTTTATTTCCCATGAGATGCTGCACAAACTCTTCTTAAGCTGCACGGTTTTTAAATGTATTTAAAGCCACAAATGAAGTAAAAACCCACCTTTCCTGACTGTGGAGACAACAGCTTCATCATAGATGTGCTGGAAATAAAAACACACATTTATATCACAGTTCTCCTCTTCAGAAGCACAGAAAAGGAAGGAAGACTCACCGTGCCTCCACTGAGGGTGGATAACAGAAAAAGCAGCATGTGCTCAGTCATGATCTTGATAACTTGCATCTGATGGATCCAAGCGGGCTAATTTCCTGAAGCTGGGTCAAAACTCCGGCTTTGTCACGTTATGTCGGTCATAGGAGACGTGGGAATCCCTGCACGTATTGTCCTGTCCCTCGCAGTTTTGGGCTGTGTTGAGTAAACCCTTTGCGTCATTTAGGCTTGTCTAAAAGTCGGAGGCTGGAGTTACCTCTTTGCGTTTATCTTAGCTTCTTATCCACGGAGAGGAGACTTTAAAACTTTCCATCTGGAGGCAGAGCGGAGGAGGGGACCGGGCTTTTTTTCCCCTCTCTCCACTAGAACCTTTCTCTAACACGGTCACTTTCAGTAATGAATAAAAAGCAGGACATAAACGCACAAATGCAAATTACAAGTGAGGTAAAGGTCCCGCTTATCAAGCGAACATTCCAAATACTTCAGTAAATATTAACTAAAGTCATCATTTCCTGAATATCCTATTTCAATAATTTTACAACCCAAAAAAAAAAATGATTCAATTAAAAAAAAACTTGGCATCACTTGCTAATATGGCTAGCTAGCAACAAGCTAAGTTTGAAAGAGTAAATAATCATGCTAGCTTTGCTTATGTTCGAATCTAGTTAGAAGTTTTATAGCTTTTAAGGATATTTAAAGAAGAATTAAAAAAAATTTTGAATAAAAAGTGTTTTAGATATTTCCGAAATGTATAGATTTTGTCCATCTATCCATTTTTGGCCAGTTATCCGGAGTCGGTCGCAGGGGCAGAATCTAAGCAGGGAAACCATACTTGTCTCTCCTCAGCCAATTGGGCCAGCTCGTCATCGTCGTCTTCCTCCGCTTATCCGGGTCCGGGTCGCAGGGGCAGCATCCCAACTGGGAGCTCCAGACCGTCCTCTCCCTGGCCTTCTCCACCAGCTCCTCCGGCAGGACCCCAAGGCGTTCCCAGACCAGATTGGAGATGTAACCTCTCCAATGTGTACTGGGTCGACCCGGGGGCCTCCTGCCGGCAGGACATGCCCGAAACACCTCCCCGGGGAGGTGTCCAGGAGGCATCCTGACCAGATGCCCAAACCACCTCAATTGACTCCTTTTGATCCGGAGGAGCAGCGGTTCTACTCCGAGAATGTCCGAGCTCCTCACCCTATCTCTAAGGCTGAGCCCGGCCACCCTACAGAGGAAACTCATTTCGGCCGCTTGTATCCGCGATCTCGTTCTTTCGGTCATTACCCAAAGCTCATGACCATAGGTGAGGATTGGGATGTAGATCGACCGGTAAATCGAGAGCCTGGCTTTCTGGCTCAGCTCCCTCTTCACCACGACAGATCAGCTCAGCGTCCGCATCACTGCAGATGCTGAACCAATCCGCCTGTCGATCTCCTGATCCCTCCTACCCTCACTCGTGAACAAGACCCCGAGATACTTAAGGTTGGTTTATGCTTGACGCGTCCGCGAGGTCCGCACGGCTCCGTGCGGAAAAGTTGTGTCATTTTGCGTAATTTTAACAACCACGCCCCTCCGCCGCGCCTCTGCACGGCCCAGAATTTCCGCAACGCGCACCTCGGAAAATTTCTAACCACGCGGACGGACGGACGCGGAAAAACATGGGCGGACCGGCAAGAACTAGTATGGCAGAGGTTCGTAAATACAGACATTTGTATGATTCAGCTTTCAGAGATCACCGTGATCAACATGTTGTTAATAATTCTTGGAGAGAAATAGCTCGCACTGTCGGAAAAGTCGAGAACGCTGTTAAAAATGCTGAAATGACATGTTGTAAACAGTCATTTCTACTTCTACTATGGTGTAGTGTTGGATGCATGCCGTAGAGCTCCATGCTGCCCCGTTCAGTTTGGGAGAATATTGGCTCACCGCAGAGACGAGCCGCACGAACCATAAACACTGCGAGTTGTGAAGCGCGTTCCAGCCGAGAGCAGCATCACCGTGCGGAAAGTGAATGCGTCAAGCATAAACCAAGCTTTAAACTCCTCCACTTGAGGTAGGACCTCTACAACGGCCTGGAGTTGGCAAGCCACCCTTTTCCGGTCGAGAACCATGGTCTTTGATTCGGAGGTGCTGATCCTCATCCCAGCCGCTTCACACTCGGCTGCGAACCTACCCAGCAAGAGCTGAAGGTCAGAGCTGGATGAAGCTAGGAGGACCACATCATCCGCAAAAAGCAGAGACGAGATTCTCCTGCCACCAAACTCGACACACTCCACACCACGGCTGCGCCTAGAAGTTCTGTCCATAAAGGTAATGAACAGAACCGGCGACAAAGGGCAGCCCTGGCAGAGTCCAACCCTCACCGGGAACAGGTCCGACTTACTACCGGCTATGCAGACCAAACTCACGCTCCTCTGGTAAAGGGACTGAATGGCCCTTAACAGAAAGCCACCCACCCCATACTTCTGGAGCATCCCCCACAGGGAGCCCCTGGGGACACGGTCATAAGCCTTCTCCAAATTCACAAAACACATGTGGATTGGTCGGGCAAACTCCCATGCCCCCTCCATCACCCTTGCAAGGGTATAGAGCTGGTCCACAGTTCCACGGCCAGGACGAAAACCACATTGCTCCTCCTCAATCTGAGATTCAACTATCGGACCCTCCTCTCCAGTACCTTGGAGTAGACCTTTCCAGGGAGGCTGAGGAGTGTGATCCCCCTATAGTTGGAACACACCCTCAGGTCACCCTTCTTAAAGATGAGGACCAACACCCCGGTCTGCCACTCCACAGAAACTGCCCCCGATGACCACACAATGTTGCAGAGACGTGTCAACCATGACAGCCCTACAACATCCATAGCCTTAAGATACCCAGGACGAACCTCATCCGCCCCCGGGGCTCCGCTGCTGTGTAGTTGTTTGACTACCTCAGCAACCTCTGCCCCCGAGATTGGACAGTCCATCCCCAGGTCCTCCGGCTCTGGTTCCTCCTCAGAATGTGCATAGGTGGGATTGAGGAGCTCCTCAAAGTATTCCTTCCACCGTCTCCTCGTCTTCCACTGACTCCTCCTTGAACCGTCACCTTATCGTGGTGGAGGAGTTTGAGTGCCCTAATGATCCTAGGAGCTACGTTGTCTGGGGCACTTTGTGCCCCTGGTAGGGTTTCCCATGACAAATTGGTCTTAGGTGAAGGGTGAGACAAAGAACGGTTCACAGGATCTTTCATGGAGGTAAAGTCAAAGAGTCGGAGTACCCGGCACGGAGGGTTACCGGGGTCCCACCCTGGAGCCAGGCTCGGGGTTGGGGCCCGTGAGCGAGCGCCTGGTGGCCGGGCTTTCGCCCATGGGGCCCGGCCGGGCCCAGCCCGAACCGGATACATGGGCTCATCCAACTGTAGACCCACCACCTGCAGGAGGAACATGAAGGGTCCGGTGCATTGTGGATCGGATGGCAAACCAAGGCGGGAGCCTTGGCGGTCCGATCCCTGGACAAGAAAACTGGTTTTTGGGACTTGGGCCAGCTCATCCAGGGAAATCCCAAGGCGTTCTCCCTGGTCAACTGAGAGACATATAGTTCGTCCAGCATATCCTGGACTTTCCCTCAGGTCTTCTCCTGGTTGGACATGCCCGGAAATACTCACAAGGGAGGTGTCCAGGACGCATCCCAACTAAATGTCTGAGTCCCCTTAACTGGCTCCTCTCAATGTGGAGGAGCAGCAGGTCTACTCAGAGCCCCTCACGGATGACAAAGCTTCTCCCCCATCTCTAAGGGAGAGCCAAGCCACCCAGCAGAGAAAATTCATTACGGCCGCTTGTATCCCTGATCTCATTCTTTCGGTCACTACCCAAAACTCGTGACCATAGGTGAGGGTTCGAACGTAGATCAACCAGTAAATCGAGAGCTTTGCCTTCTGGCTCAGCTCTCTCTTCATCACGACAGATCGGTACAACACCTGCATCACTGCAGAAACAGCACTAATCCGCCTGTCAATCTTGCATTCCCTCTTTCCCTCACTTGTGAACAAGACCCCGAGATACTTAAAGTTCTCCACTTGGGGCAGGACCTTTGTCCCTGACCCAGAAAAGTCATTCTACCCTTTTCCAATTCAAGATCATGGTCTCGGATTTTTAGGAGCTGATTCTCATCCCAGCTACTTCACACTGCGCTGTGAACCGCTATAGCAAAACCGGAGATTACAGTCTGATGAAGCCAACAGGACCCTATCATCTGCAAGAAGCAGAGATTCAAGCCTTAGGCCACAAAAATGGATCCCCTCAACACTTTGGCTGCACCTAGAAATCCTGTCCGTAAAAGTTACGAACAGAATTGGTGACAAAGGGCAGGCTTGGTAGAGTCCAGGTCTCACCAGAAACGAGTTTTACGATCTGATCTTTTTTCCACAAAAATAAACAATGATGAACAAGAGTCTGCTTCTAGACCTGCAGAAAGAGACAAGAAAAAAAGCAAAACAAAAACAACAACAACAAAATGGGACACAACAACAATACAACAAGATCAAGCTATCACTGCTTCAACTTGATGAAGAAATAAATTATCAACATTGTTTAACTGAACAGTCACATGATAATAAATCACAGTGCATTAAGTGCCCACCATAGTCTTAAGACCTATGTTTAACGTGCCCAAGCCCATACTTTTGAGAGCACCATGTGAGCACCTGTGTGTACACGCGCTTGTTTATGTAAGGTTTCTCTATAGGAGCGTCCAATAGAGAGTGTGAGGGACCACAGATCTGCCCCCCAAAGATGCGTAGGAGACGGGGGGAGCTCCAAGTCCCAGAGATCCAGGAGCTGCCCCAGAACACAGGAACCCCAAGGAGACTGCAACCAGAAAGGCCCCCGCCCCCCTCGAGAGGCACAGAGGATCGCCCCGGGGGGCCACAACCAGCAGCTGGCAGAGTCCCGGGAGACATCAGAGGCAAGCCCTCAGGCCCGCCCGCAGCCCCCCACCCCCTAGCCGGCCGAGCCCGGGACCCAGACCCCACCAGGCAGCCACTGGGACTGATCAGGCAGACGCCAAAAATCTTAAACCCCCGACCCGGGAGCCTTGAACACTCAGGCAGACCAAGGCACCACACCCCACACCAGGTGTGGCAGGGGGAGGGGAGACGAAGATCTATATCACCAAAAGAAGTCTCAGGAGAGGGGAGGAGTCAAAGGCCGCACCTGACATATACAGTCATACACAAACACAGTCACACACTCCCTCCCTCATGCTCACACATGCACATACAACCAAAGACTTACAAAAATGCATGCCGGACATCCACTCATGCTCCCCATACACACCCTATTCACTCTGGTCCCGGTACTGCTGCACATTGGGTACAACAATCACCGGTTACCAGAGATTTACCCTTTCTGCTGGGGGTGCTGATGAGCAGGCTCCCCCGCCCAACGCTGAGCACAGCAACCCACCACCCCAGACCCCAACCAGATGGCCAGATCTCCCTCCTAGCCTCCAGCCCCAGGAAGCCAA